TTTTATGTGATGTTGATCTATTAACATATAGGTTGCAGCTTTCGCCGCTCCTACTACCTCCTGATATGTAACTAAATTTGTTCATAAAGTTTGTAGGACAATTGTCATGGATGATTCTAAACATATAATTTGACAGATGGAGTTGTCGTCTAAGATGGAGTGGTAACCATTTCATGTCTCTATAAACATTAAGGCTGCTCTCTGTTTGTGGAAAGATAGATTCAATATAATTAACTGGCTCATCATCAATGAGGCCATTGTTTGCAAAGTGGGGAGCTTGGTAGAAAGGGTTATACCGAACGATATCATTGGCATCAGTGCATATTTTGCAGTATGTTGCATCTCGAAATTTGACTATGTTATCATCAGTTTTGCATTTTTTGTGCATTATTTTGTCACACATCTGACAAGTTATGAATGGATGTCCAGCACGCACAGGTCTATTGCAGCAGCAGCAAATTTTGCATATTAGTTTGGCTATCATGACATAACTACGGATCTACGAGAACGTGGGGAAAATCTTTTTTGGGCCTTGGTAACATCACTGAACAACCTCCCATCAACAGGGCTACCTAGGATCTTATGGGCAATTGCCCGGGAGAGTTTAAAGATACCACTTGACCCCAGGTGGATTGGGTCATCCGGCTTCTTGTATCTACAAAACTGCTTGTCCAGTAGACCCTCCTCATCAACAAAACTATCAAAATCTAAAGTGCCTATTCTAGTATTAGTATTACAGTACCCAAATAATAAACTATTAAACTCCATGGCTCTGTCATTCAGCCAGGAGGACCTAGTTGGAAGGATGGGTGAAACTATAACTTTAGAGTATGGACACATATCACAAATATTCTTGAGCTTCTTTGTCAGCTCATTAGCCCAATGTTTAACATCACCCCCTCCCCTCTTGATATTATTTACACCACAGTGTACTACAACGTTCTTGTATCCTACACAAAGAAGAGGGTCTAACTGATCTATTGTGAAACATTCAATTCTTTTCCCAGGCAGTTTGTGACCAAATGTTCCTGTACCAGCCCCAAATTTGAGGAACCGGGTGTTTGAATCACCAATAATCAATGTCGCATTAGTAAAGAGTCACGTCTTCTCTATCCAAATAGGAAACGTCTTTTAAACCCATAAACTTCTGGAGGAAGTAGCTTTTTTTATTAATCATGGCATAAATAGAACATTTAAAGTAACTGTCCACATGTATTTGATTCTCAAAGTCTGTAGTAGTAAAACACATTTTTTAGTAAAACAAATTTTATTTCATACCCACAATCAATTCATATTTAGTTCAAATATTTAAAGTCAAAATAACCATTTCACATAAGTGGTTATATTATTATAAAATAATTTGTGATAAATTAATAAATTAATTTACACTCAAAAATGAACAAAATATACACAATTTTTACCTAGTGCAACACTGGTTCAGCGTGCGGCTGATCGAAAAAGTTTGGTTTGCATTTACTAACTACAGTGTACAGCGTACATGAAAAAATAACTGACTGAATCTTTTAATACTAGACACAATTTAATTCAGATGTTGTTCAATGAGTTAGCCACAAAAATGTTCAAATTATGTAGGAGGGTAAAGGACACAATTGCTAGTAGTGCTTCTTTGTGCCCGTAGACCAGGAAGTAAACTCAATAGTCAATATATTATGTTTAGTTGACTGTTATTTATGATCCTAGAAAGAAATTTACCTACACTGCAACTGCTACCTTTCACAGTTTAAACATGGGAGTGTATGAATTCTGATCTCAGTTGCAATAGGCATGAGGCAGACATCACTGGAAAAGTTTTTTACTTAATAGGAATGGAATTTTCAATATTAGATTTTTATTCCTTAGTCAGTTTTATCATTGATTTTGTTGTTTCTTCAGTTCAAATTCATTTTTTGTTTCTGGTATTTTGTTCTGTATTTTGTAGACAATATGTGTGATGATGTGATGTCATAAATTTAACTTTACTCTACTCTACTCTACTCTACTATAATCTAATCATCTACTCTACTCTACTCTACTCTACTCTACTCTACTCTGTACTCTACTCTACTCTACTCTACTCTACTCTACTATATTTCTCTTCTCTTCTCTTCTCTTCTCTTCTCTTCTCTTCTCTTCTCTTCTCTTCTCTTCTCTTCTCTTCTCTTCTCTTCTCTTCTCTTCTCTTCTCTTCTCTCTTCTCTTCTCTTCTCTTCTCTTCTCTTCTTCTCTTCTCTTCTCTTCTCTTCTCTTCTCTTCTCTTCTCTTCTCTTCTCTTCTCTTCTCTTCTCTTCTCTTCTCTTCTCTTCTCTTCTCTTCTCTTCTCTTCTCTTCTCTTCTCTTCTCTTCTCTTCTCTTCTCTTCTCTTCTCTTCTCTTCTCTTCTCTTCTCTTCTCTTCTCTTCTCTTCTCTTCTCTTCTCTTCTCTTCTCTTCTCTTCTCTTCTCTTCTCTTCTCTTCTCTTCTCTTCTCTTCTCTATTCTACTCTGTACCCAATCGATTAAACCATTTTGCATGCTTCACAGCTAATATTTAACTTAATTTTAAGGCAAGTGTTACTATGTCTATGGTTTACTGGGCAATTAAAGGTTTCCTGGACAAACTGTCAAAAATGTTACAATTCATTGTATGGCTGCTCTATGGACCTCGAAGGAAAGATCTTGTAGAAGGCAGTGTACAGGGATATGATATCCTTGCAGATATGAAGCCTGGGTTTGCAATGATTAATGAAAAAAGCTTCTTCCTCCACAAGTTTGTTGGTTTGAAAGACGTTTCCTATTTGGATAGAGAAGACGTGACTCTTTACTCTGTTACAGAGGATGAGTTTGTATTTGTGAGGACCAAACCCGAGGTGGACATATTCAACACAGAGAAATATCCCTTCATTTACAACATCCAACATTCTGCAGCAGAGGAGGTCTTGACTGCTTCTCACAGTACAGTGTTCCAGTATTTAAGAAGCAAACCAGAGAGGGACGGTAAAAACATCTCTTATTTACATAACCCAGGACGATGTGGTTCTACTCTAGTTGCAGCTATGATGTTCAGTACTAACCAGTGTGTGGTACTCTCAGAACCCACTCCGGTCCTCCACTTGGCTCTCATGTTCAACAAGAAGGACTACCCTGCCAGTCGTAAAACCGTGGAGTATCTAGAGATCGTCAGAGCAACCTTTCTTCTTCTTTGTCCTGATCCTGACAAGTTGTACTTCATTAAGCCTTGGGGTCTTCAGACCCTGTCCCTGCTCCCTCTCCTACACCAAGCCTTACCTGGAATCAAGGAAATGTTCATGTTTCGTTCTGTTCAACCGACCGTGCTATCGTTTAAAAAGCTTGTAGGCTCAGAAAAATATTTTGAAGTTGCAGGGAATTGGGCTATTTCCAAGTTTCCTGTAAACTACCGAAGTATCTGGGAGAAAGTAAAACGTGGAAAAGGTGATGAAGTGTGGTGTTTCCTAGTGCTGAGTCAGATCCACGCTTACATGTTGGAAACTCAAGATAGGACAGATATCAGGTCATACAGCTACGAGTCTCTGTTGAAGAACAAGGAGGCATTTGCTCGGAGTTTATTGAAGGAGGTGGGAGTTGGGGAGGATTATCTTGGAGAGGCTCTGTCTGCCCTATATAAAGACTCTCAGGCTAACTCAGTTACTCATAAAACGGAGAAAGTAGCTGCAGTTAAAATGAGTATAGATGCTGATGCAATTAGGTGGGCTGAGGAAGTAGCAAGGAATAAGTTTGGGTTAGAGATGGTGGGGGATGATGGTCAGATCTCAAACATGACCCATCAATGGTTCAAATGAAGTGAATGATGCTGTGCAATAGTTTGATTGGTGCTGACAGAGCTAGAGGTTCCCTACACAGTAAAACAAAGTTATATAAGTAGTACACAAATTAAATTTTTAATCTTTTTATAATCAAATATTTATGTTATACCTGATTTGTTATGCTTGATTTGATATAATCTTTTTAAACATGTTTTTGAGCATTGTTAAAACAATTATTAAAAAATAGTTTTTTACAATAACTGTTTGCTATATTAAAATTAATGAGGTATTTTTATGAAAATGTTGATGATCTTATTATTCTGTTTTGATGTACGATTTGATTTAAAATAGTTTAGCTTTTCAATCTATTTTGCATGTACTCATGAAAAATACAATTACAAAACTTTGAATTGTATTTTTTCTGTTTAAAATTAAAATATAGTTATATTGTAATGATTCATATTATGCAACTTTAATTGATCTCAAGCCTTGTCTAACCCCTCAATCCTTCAACCTATAATCTGCTTTCCAGTAACACCATAACAGTTTCAAGTCCCTTATACACCATGAGCAACAATAGCTACACACATACTAAAAAAATGAACATCTGCTACAGAACGATCATTGTAACCATATGCATATAATTGTCACAACCTATCATTTAAATAGCTGATATATTATGAGGTATAAGTGTATAAGGGTATAAGTGTGCTTCAAAGTACTTCTGCATAATTACTACCCTTACAATGAAGAATTTGTGATCATGATCTTCGGTAATACTCCTGTTCGCGTTTACATTTCTTGTCCTGTTGGAATTTTAATTACAGCTTCATAATTTCTGGTTATTTCACAGCCCACTTTCATTTGATTTTTCAAATTCTAGGTTTGTAGAATAAGAATGAGACAGAAATAATTGGGAAAGGATTTTTGACTTGAATATGAATGCAGTTTTGAATAGGTGATTTATTATAAACATCGGTAGAACAGCATAGGATGCCATCTCCCACCCCTGCATAAAATTAACTTTTTTTAAAAGCTCCACCCGGCCCCCATCACTCAACTCCTGCAGAGCTACTATACAAACTCACCTTTGCACTTTAAGGTTCACCTTTCACCTTTCGTCAAATTTTGTATGTTAAAATCAAATACAATCGATAATTATTGACACTTTTTATCAAAAATACATATGTATATTGAATAATAACATGATAAATTAGAGACAATTAAACTGTTTCCTTTAGGTTATGGTTTTGCAGATATGTGTACTAAACTACAAGACCTTGGATTCTTCACAAGCATTGAAGATATCAAAGCCTTCCTGTTCAGTGATGAGGAGATAACAGCATCATGGCTTGATGCTGTGCAGTATTCATTGAGCACTAGTGGTGACTTGATTTCCTTCCTTTACAAAAACCGTTTGATAATAACTAAATTAAAGGAAAGTGCCGATAACAATACAGTTGAGTATGACATCACTCACAAAGGTGTTATTGCAGATATAAATGAAGAGTCTGCATCATGCTTGCTGTCCCTCTCAGTGGCATTACAGCAGAAGAGTGTTGGAGCCACAACCCTCATTAAAACAAGCACGTGGAACTGTATTGCTGTGGGCTTCACTTCCGGGTATTTCAGAATATATACAGAAACTGGTGTTCAACTGTTTGAACAGATATTTCACCCTCAGCCCATCAAGTCTATGAAATACTGCCTGCCGAAAGTACTGCAGGACGAACTGCTTGTTATATATGACGACATTCTCATTGCTGTAGATGGTTTCAGCTTGTATCAATGTCTCCGGTTTTGTAGAATGCAGCAGCTCCGGACCACTGCAAGCCCAAATGCTGCTAAGAACATCAGTATATCCTTCAAGAAATGGTCACTTCAAGATCAAAAGTCTACAACTGATGTTGAATTTTATGGTGTGAGAAATACGACCCCATTCGAGCACCTTTACCAAGCATCGTTAGCTGGAGGTTCTGCAAACTATATCGGACAAGCAGGACTTGGGCCTGTTTACAACTATGTAGCAGTGGGTAAAGGACCCTTCATTGCTCAATACTGTCCCTCAGAACAGGCAGCACAGCCCATCATGTCAGAGGTAGTAATGAACGTAGCTACCAAGCTCATGTCTTATATTCCTGGATCTAGTTGGCTAACTGGCTGGTCTCAGGCTGCAAAAGAAAACCAGATCACCTTTGAGCCCCCAATTGCTATAACTAAAAACATATGTATAGACGATCCTAGAAGAGAAATTGTTTCAATCAAGGCGTCCCCCAGAGGAAACCTAGCTGTTTTAGCGGATACATTTGGTAGACTCTTATTGCTGGATGTTGCTAGCATGATTCTAGTTAACATTTGGAAAGGATACAGGGATGCTCAGTGCGGGTGGATTGCTGTGCCTTGTGAACAGGTTCATAACTCTACAATCAGGCCACAGCACACATTGTTCCTCGTGATATACGCTAAAAAGCGTGGTATTTTGGAGGTATGGTGCCCCTACCAGCACTACAGAGTAGCTGCGTTTAATGTGGGAAAGAAAGGGGTACTCTTATCCAGCATGTACGGAGCTCTTGGAGAGGGATCCTTGTCTTCTCCTCTCGCAATCCCAGCTTGGAGGCCAGCCAAATCCTGCTGCTTTCTAATCAAGGAAACTGGCAAGGTGATAAATGTCAGTGTTCCATTTGAAAGCTGTCTCGGATTGGAGTATCTGCTTTCACTAGAAGATTCCAAGTTGGTTAACAAAGCCCTAGACATTGTGCAGGCTGATAACTTTTCTCCTGAGCATGCAACTGAGATTGATAATCTTGTCCAAGAAATCAAGCTAGCAACGAATGTTTGGACAGTTATACAGGCTGTATTTGATTCTCCTCACATATCTTTATCCTACAAAACAACCTTGTGTAATTCTATCATGGCTGACATTTCTGGTTCCAAAGAACTTTGTCAACAACCTGAGTTTATAAAACTATATCAATCTTGTGATGTGTTTACCAAACTATCAACCCTCTACAGTAATGTTACTGAGCAATGGAAGGCAACAACTTTCTTGAGCTCATCAAAACAATCCCCTCTACTATCAGAAATTCAACCTGTCATAGAAACTTACTTTGGAAAAGCAAAGATCAAATCTTCTTTTGAATTTCCTGGTGTTATAGAATTTAGTAAGAGTTTTGTGATAACCCGAAACCTTAACTCCATTGATGAAAAATCAAAGTTGTCAATTGAGCTGCCTGATAATCAGAGGGAAACTGTATCAAGGTTTTTGACTCTGTTGTTCCTTTATTCAGAAGATTGGATACCAGCATTTGATCAGCTCTTGAATTGCGGCATGTCCCTACCACTGATCTTCACAATGTTCATTGAGGCTTGTTTAACTCTAGACATTCAGATCTCCTCTCAATTGTACCAGTCACAAATATGTGAAGTTATCCAGCATATTCTCTCAAAGTTTGATAATCCGAAGGAATGCTGGGACATCATGTTTGATGTTCTTAAGTCCAGTAAAAATGTTTGCCACGGTCTCATCCTAGCGATATACTGTCAGGCTATAGCCGTTGTAACCCTCGAGTTCACCACCACAACATTTGAAACAGAGCAAGACAGCCACAAGGTAGACAGTGACAGTGACAGTGGTGAGGAACAAGAATGGGTGGCCCTGGACCCGGAACACGAGCAGTGGTACACAACACGGCAACAACTCTCTGATGTCCTCCATCTCCAGATAAACACGGGGGTCGACTGTACTGTAAATACGCTCCTACGATCTAACAATCAAACTGTTACCCACGTGGTTGCTAACCATATCATTGAGAATGATCTTATTCAGAACGTTATAGACTGGGTAGAGAGGTTAAGGAACCACAAGTTAGAGGAGGGCGAAGTTAGTGAACCAGAGGAGGTGTTTGATGATAACCTAAACTGGCTACTAAACGTAGTGCCCTGGTGGCCGTACCAACTCCATCCCACTACAATATCAGTGTGTCTGATTGAGTGTTTGATATTCAGGTGGAGTGCTGTGCTGGATGAGCAGAGTCCTGATGTGGATGTGGAGTACCTTGTCTCCGCTTCTAAAGTCCTCCTCAGTCTCAAGTATGTAACAGTGCAGCAAGCACTGCTTAGTGTTCTGTGGGAAACCGTGTTTTGCTCAAAGATTAAGAAAATGTACGCTCTCATTGAAAAGGTTGGGAGGCAACCCAAGGACAGACTATGTGTGAAAGAGCTGTCTCTGACCCTGGCTTCAGTGATTGACTTTATATCTGTAGCCCGGAATATCCTGGTGAATGTAAACATTTCAACTGATCCCAGCGAGGATAGGCTTGTTGTAAAACAGGAGAACGTGTGGGCCTCTGACAGTAGGAGCTGGCTCCTACACAAAGTAGTGAGTACAGAACAAAAACTGAACCCTGACTTTGTCATACTCCACGCTCAAATAGTCACCTCTCTAGAGCTCATAATCTCCCTCAACATCAAGAACATCAGACCCTCTGTTCTCTTCCACTCCAAGTTCGCCAACCTCTTCTTCTCCCCTCTCACTACCCCCGGCACCTTCAAGTTCTCCACCACCCCCGACATAGACACCCTCCACGAACAGATGCTGAAGATGTGTGTAAAAGCTTCTGTGAACTCTGACATGAACCTCACACCTTACCAAACCTCCTGGACATATCTCATTATAAACCTCGCTACACTGTGGGAGATTGCAGTACCTATACAATCATACTTAGCTGTGTTTTTATACAGTCTAGGTAAGTTTGATGAGGGTAACGAGATAGTGCTTACCTCTCTACACAGACCGCAACTAGGAGTAGAGCTGTTAAACGTGCTGCTGTCCCTTCTTGAAATGTTAATATTCCTTGACGAGACTAGTCAGAAGTTTTACCTGCCCGTGCTGACTCCTTCCTTAAGTAGCTGGCTCAGATCCAAGAGAGATCCTAATGTGGCGCTGTTGGATATTAAGACTGTATTCAAGGCGTTTTCAAATGTCTTAACTTGGGTTTCGGGTGACGACATTATTATTAATAATTCTAGGGAACTGCGTCTCAGCCTGTTGAAAGTGTTGTAGTTTTTAGTTCTAATATGACAAAGATTTTCAGAATGCAAAGATATACATTTTAATTTCTTTGAATTTTCACTAATTTTATCATTTCAGTTTACGTGTTCTAACCTCTTTGTCGTTGCACTGAAAGTGGCTATTAGAATTTTCACGCTCTAGATGATTTCGCTGATGCTTCTGTAGTTTTAGTTTTTATCGATGAAATTTTTGGTCGTGTGTGAATGCATTTATCTGGGATTGAGTTTTAGAATGTTTTGTGTAATCATGTTAATAGTGAATATAAAACATTGAATTCAGTTTGTTGTTTATTGTGATTTTATTGACACATCTTACAATACTATTACATCATATTGCTACCTAATCAGTTTTTAGATACATCATAAAATACCATATTTCCGCATTTTAAAAATACTTTTAAAGTCATCGTACAGAATATTATGTCACTGTTTCATAAAATCATCACTCCGAGAAGCTTTAAAAGTTTAAAGTTCCACTCCATACCTCCATAAAATATTCTCTTCTGTCAATTCACGTGGTGTGATGTCACACCACGTGACGTCACAGCTATGACGTCACTGATCATCTTCTCTGTCTTATCTTTTAACCGTGAAGCCTCCCATATATCCCTCTATTGAAGCTTCATCACCTCTGTCTCATGTATACACAATACATCTCCCGTGTGTGTGTATCGCAACATAAGTTCAATTAATCTCTCTTCTTACTCCGATAGCACGTATACATTTAGAGCTGTTATATTTAATATACGATGTATGAAGTGGCAGATATACTAGATCATATGACATACCACCAACATTTGTACTGCTGCTCTGTATCAGTTACCTTCACTGAGTCCTACGTACGTGTTACTTTAGTGCTCCCTCTTGCGATATTTCCTTCTGTTTGACTTGATGTTTGGTTTATTATCTTTGTTCAGTATGACCAGCGATGCCACCGTGACTAACGGACACACTAAACATGAATCTAGCAGCAAGAAGGAGTGGGTTAGACTCAACGTTGGAGGTCAGTGCTTTAATAATCAACATTCAATCAACTTTGTTGTTGTGTAATGTTTTCAAAGCTTGTAGTTCACTTTGTAAACAATGATGGATAAGTCTAGACTAGGATTCATAACGTTTGATCATCATGATTGCTTTAGTTCATCCCGCTGCGTCCTTGTAATGATATAATACCTGTGACTGATCCATCTGTTGATAAACACTGTGACTCTTATTATAACTTATTACAGGTACAACATTTCTAACAACAAAACAAACTCTCTGCAAAGATCCCCACTCGTTTCTGTGTCGGATCTGCCATGACGAACAACTGATCGACTCCATGAGAGACTCTACAGGTGATTGCTGGCCTAATTAAGTACTTATGTAATTATCTAATGTTTGGTTCGCTGCACAACGTTTACTAGCCTTGGTTTGCAGCGGCAGTTGCTGGTAAATATAAATATAAATCGTCGGTAAATGTGCATTGTGCACTGTATTTTAGGATACAGCGAGGCTCTTAATTTATTTAGCTTAACTTTGCGTCAACGCAGCTATTGTATTAGAGCTTTTCGTCTAGAACGGAAACAAATTCTTCAGATTATTATGGAGCCAGAGTGACTCGCTAAACCTGGTTAAAACCTTTCCATCCCATTACATAACACTGAAATACAACAAATTTACAATAAAATATAATATGTATGTTGACAGGTGTGGGAATGTGAACTCTTTAACTGGGATGTATTAAGTTACTAAATAAGTTATATCGCGACTAAATCTATTGTTTAAATTGTACCAATATTTTACACAGAACCATTCCAGGTGCGTTTCTTATAGACCGGGACCCCGCCTACTTTGGTCCAGTACTAAACTATTTGAGACACGGCAAAGTTATTATCGACAAGAATCTGATTGAAGAGGGCGTCCTCGCTGAGGCGGAGTTCTACCAGGTTATTTAATTATAATTAATTAAATAATTAAGTTAAAGTATTATAAGTTTCGTTATAAAAGAATGTTGTAGTGTGATATGTGATATTAAAGCGAGTCAATAGGTGTTTGATGATATGTCCTCGCGTACGATTATTATCAGTATTCACAACTTTTCGTGGATTAGATATTCAAACGTCCTGAGAACACTACAAATAAACTTCCCGCTGCACTGGTCCTGGCAACACTTATAAGAGCTATTAGTTAATTAGTAGTTATTAACGTTCTAACATTTGCAGATATCCTCGCTGGTGAGGTTACTGAAAGTGAGGTTGAGGGAGAAGGACGATGGTAACCAGAGCAAGAGAACTCAACAAGTTTACAGAGTTCTACAGTCCCACGAGGACGAGCTCACTCAAATGTTGTCTACTCTTAGTGATGGCTGGAAGTGCGAACAGGTACAGAACGGGGAAAGGGGTATGCTAGGGAGCTGAGGAGAGGGTCCTATTAACTATAGATACTGTGATTAAATTGTAGTATTGATTGTCAGCCAGGAAATAAAATATATACACTCCTTAAGTAATAAATTCTGTAATATAACTTGTTCTAGTACTATAAATAGTAACCTTTTATTAGTATATCATTGTAATTATAGTAACCTGTAATATCACTATCTTCAGGTGATAAATATTGGTAGTGGGTACAGTTACGAATGTAACCAATCAGAGTTCCTTATCCTCGCCTCTTATCAGCTCGACACACCCGACAGCGACCACTCACCACACAAATTCATCGACAAAATCCAACTTCCTTAAACTTTGATCCGCCCATTTGCTAGAATCATTCTGGCAGTACGCCAGTTTGCCAGCTGAGGTCGAGGGGTTTGGTGCGAGTTTGAACGCTGTCGCGAATATATATTCCTAGTGAGCGCTGCCGTCTTTTAGATAAAGTTTTGTATAATTTGTGGACAAATTGCAGCTCCCTCCTCGTGGAGAGAGACTGTGTTATTAGTGAAGCATTGAACTTCGGCCTTTTCAACTCCAAACAAATCTAAAACATCCTCAATTTACGTGGTCCGGCCCTTAAATCCGGGATAGTTGGAGTTTGGTGTTTCGCCGTATATTTAAACTAACCTTTACTTCTTCTGTCCGATTGATTGTTAATTTGGCGGGGAAAACACCATCATGTTTTCAATGAGACTATTAGTATGAGCTCATTGAACTGCCCACTGATTGGCCAGTATTGTTAGTACAGTAAAAACTAAAACCCCGATTTACCGCGGAGTTTGGGAGAAAGGAAAATCGGGGTTTTACCGTGCTTTGATTGGTTAGTGAGATTGTTAGAACAGCTCTGATTGGTCAGTAGCTTTCTTCATGGTGTGACAAACTTTATACGCTCTTGTAAATTCTGAAATTTTCTAATGATCGCATGTTTTACTTTTAAATCTCACAGCATGCCACGTTTGCCCAGATTGTTTGACTTTTGGAATTTAAAAAAGCATGCTTTGGTTGAAAAACAATATTTTTATGTTATGACTTATAATATTTAAATCTTGAAATGTTGGTCCTAAAGGGGTACCAAAATATGTGAATGTGTGCCAATTTCGGTCGGATTGCTGACACTGCCAAGAATGATTATATATTTATATTGTTCAAAAAAGTATGTCGATAATAATAATAAAACAGCTGGTAAGTTAAGGCTTAGATAATATAGCTGTCAGCTATATATAAATTATAATGTAGCTATAATAAAACATATTATGTAGCTATAATATAACATAGCTGTCAGCAGTCGTTGAAACATTGATTCAACCTTCAACACTCGCAATCAATGTATCAATTATTGTACTTATATCAGTGGAAATAAACTAGCATTTCTCCGAAATGTAGCCGAGGACATCGCAGTGAGAACATTACAATTATATCAGTACATACTGTATCTCATTTGTCAATAAAAAGCACTAGTACACGTATGTATGGTACTGTACGCGCCGTACAGTACCGTACATGCATATATTGTACATCGTGTGCTTCTATCGAATTCTATCGGATACAAGACTGAACAAATTCTGATTTATCATTGTGCCCTTTTTCCTTTTATTGTTGAACATTCAGGAATCTAGCCCACCCCACCCTGTCTGATGTGTTCCGTACTATCGATACTACAATGTTTTTAATCTGAGGTTTTTGGGGTAGCAAGTGTAGGATTATTCATCTGATGATATTGTCCAGCAGCAGCCTACCAGGATAGTTCCCACTAGTTCCCACTAGTTCCCACTAGTTCCCACTAGTTCCCACTAGTTCCCACTAGTTCCCACTAGTTCCCACTAGTGGCATATGAATAATAATATGAACATAATGTGATGAGGACTCAATATTAACAATGTATAAATGTGTGGTGTTTAGTAAGTAGTGTGTCATAAAGCTTGTTTCAGTTAATGTTTACTCGGGTTTTGTGTAGTGTGTATAATCTAAATTGTGAATTAAAACGTCATTATTTTCCATAACTTATATATATAACGTCTATTTAACGCGTTAGTTAATACTTTATTTGTATTTACCGACAAGGATTTGTATCATTAAAATTCCGTGCAATATTGAATGTTGAAGTTGATACATTTTTATTTAACAATTTCGGATATCACATTATACATTTTCAACTCCCATGGCCATGATTTACTTATTCATTATACGATGAACATATTCTGAGATCTCATAATAATGCAGTATGCACCTATTAAATTCCCGAGATGTACTAATAATGTACATAATATAATATATAATTATTAATTATATAATTATAATGTAATTTAGATCTTATTATACTTCTTTAGTCACTTCTTCACTTCATCTCTTATAATATGTACTAGGATTTCATTTTCAATTTTGATAGTTATGATATTATAATTTTAAATGCTACAACAGTAGTTCGTGCGATGGAACGAATGCAAGTTATGCAAGTTATATCTGCATCCTATCAGAGGCACATATTAGGTGCGATGGGTGCGGGATCGCACAATTTACCGTTTTCCGCACATTTCCGCATAATTTATTGTTTTCCGCACACTTCCGCACATTTTGTAATTTTCTGCATATTTTCGCATAATCTAGCGTTTTCCGCGTAATTTCGCATAATTTTGAAATTTTCGCGTTAAGATTTTCGAGTGTAAAAACCAAAATATGTTAAAAGTCGGGCCCTTTTAGGACCGTGACTCAGGCCCTTTTAGGACCGTGACTCAGGCCCTTTCGGGACCGTGACCCAGGCCCTTTTGGAACTCATACCTAGGCCACGTGACCCAGTTACCACGTGACCCAGGCCCTTTCGGGACCCTGACCCAGGCCCTTTCGGGACCGTGACCCAGGCCCTTTCGGGACCCTAACCCAGGCCCTTTCGGGACCGTGACCCAGGCCCTTTTGGAACTCATACCTAAACCACGTGACCCAGTTACCACGTGACCCTGACTCAGGCCCTTTTGGAACTCATGCCTAGGCCACGTGACCCGGTACCACGTGACCCAGGCCCTTTCGGGACCATGACCCAGGCCCTTTCGGGACCGTTACCCAGGCCCTTTCGGGACCGTGACCCAGGCCGTTATGGAACCCTCGTCGTTACCGTACTTCGATCATACCTGCAGCCCTTTTTATCGGGTAATGAGCTCTATTCGTTGTAGCGTTGGCTTTATAGTGGGCTTAATGGATCTTGGATCAAATGGTTTACAAGTACTGACGATCAATGCCAACAAGCGTGTCACATATTTGCGATCACGCATGGGATCTGATCGACTCTATCAAGAGGCGTCTTCAAATAACTGTCTCCTGATCTCCACCAGATCAAGTCACTGTTCTCAGATAACTGAATCTCAATATAGGTTCAATCATGGTCTTAGTAAAGAACTACACCCTCAGTAACACATAAACAGACCTACATTTGATAAGAGCGGCGGTTATACGTTTAGAATTTCCAAAGTCCTTCAGAAAATGCAAAAGAAAACCGCACAATTCCCGCACAAATTTCGAAAAAATCGTCGCACATTTGCCGCATAATTGGTAAAAATTTACCGCACCTTACCGCACATTTTACCTTTATAGTCGAGTGCGGTACCGCATAATTTCGATTTTTTTACCGCACCTAATATGTGCCTCTGCATCCTATAGATTTAATAGATATGACTATGAGGTCAGGGTAGATATTGTCAGGGTAGATATTGTTAATATCATTGGTAGTTTGAACTGGATAGTTTTTATTTCGTTCTTATTTAATAATAAAAAAGTTCGTGTATACTGTATACATAATATTGGCTATTTCTTTTATACATCGTATTAAAACTTGGCTTGTTTTAATTTAATTAGACTTTGCTGTGACAGCACCAAAATTGAAATAAAAGTCTCAAATATTATAAATTTTACGTTTTACACAATCTTTTCGGTATGATCTATAATGTGAATTAAAACCTGGTCGAAGTTTGGGTGTGAATACTGCCGACCGTACAAATGCATAATTTCAAAAACTTTTTCCCATAATATGTAATTATATTACAATTTAAGATTAAATTTAAAACTTTATGATAAAAGCCTTTTTAAGTTTTAAAATAACTTATGACGCTCTGGGTAGCAACCTGTATGTATTCTGGACCACCTTGTACAATGTACATGGTAAGTAACTTGTAGACTTCTCTTTGTAACATTACAAAGATAAGTCTACAGGCTGTTTATTCCGACCCAGCCAGTTCAATAATTTAACCAAATTTAACCAATATTTATCCCAATATGAATAAATGTTAAAGTAGTAATCACGTCGTGAGTTTATTGTGGAATTAATAAAAATGTACTATAAAAAGTACTATAAACCCCGAATAAATTATCTCACGTATTCTCCAAGGTATTAATTACCGTGTAATTACCTTAATTACCGTGTAATTTACCTTATCTCCAAAGGTCCTAACAAATCAAGGGTCTGCTATACTTTTTGTCTTCTTCGACAGAAATTATATTCAGAACAGACACGTTCTGTTCCATAAGGCTAGTTATGTCACTAATGTATAATGTAACATTGTAACACTGATGTATAATGTAACATTGTAACACTAATGTATAATGTAACATTGTAACACTAATGTATAATGTAACATTGTAACACTAATGTATAATGTAACATTGTAACACTAATGTATAATGTAACATTGTAACACTAATGTATAATGTAACATTGTAACACTAATGTATAATGTAACATTGTAACACTAATGTATAATGTAACATTGTAACACTAATGTATAATGTAACATTGTAACACTAATGTATAATGTAACATTGTAACACTAATGTATAATGTAACATTGTAACACTAATGTATAATGTAACATTGTAACACTAATGTATAATGTAACATTGTAACACTAATGTATAATGTAACATTGTAACACTAATGTATAATGTAACATTGTAACACTAATGTATAATGTAACATTGTAACACTAATGTATAGTGTAACATTGTAACACTAATGTATAATGTAACATTGTAACACTAATGTATAATGTAACATTGTAACACTAATGTTGTAACACTAACATTGTAACACTAATGTTGTAACACTAACATTGTAACACTAATGTTGTAACACTAACATTGCAACACTAATGTATAATGTAACATTGTAACACAAATGTATAATGTAACATTGTAACACTAATGTATAATGTAACATTGTAACACTAATGTATAATGTAACATTGTAACACTAATGTTGTAACACTAATGTATAATGTAACATTGTAACACTAATGTATAATGTAACATTGTAACACTAATGTTGTAACACTAATGTTGTAACACTAATGTATAATGTAACATATTGTAGCTAGCCTACTCCTCTGATCAGCAAGAGAGAGTGTGAGATGTACAATGGCATTGGCTTAACGACAGTACGAGGATCAGGGACTAATGGCTACGTACAGAGAAACACGGCTCACATTTCCAACACAAGGACCAAGGTCAGCTGCTTTTAAATGCCCCTTATTATTTGTCCGGCCTCGGTGGCCTGACGGACGTTGGTTAAATTAGGGCCGATAAAGTTATAAACCGACTCTCAATTGATAATGTTATAAGTGTTATTATAACCACGACTAGAGTAGTAAAAGACAGGCTAAGGGGGCAGGGGGGGTCTTCAAGAGACTATTCGAAACTCTGTTTACTGCCCTAAATAAAACGTTATTAACGACAAGTTTTACATACTTGTAACAAGTATAATAATGGGTAGTGTTACTAATATTACCCGTTGCAGTGATATATGAGTGGCCAAATCATTTCGTTTGACATACTCCATTATTATTATAATGCATTATAACTTAGCAATTTTATGTTGTTAGCTAACAATTATGTATTTAAATTATGTCCATAATTTATTGAAGCACACCACCAACAGTTTGATTACAACTACAACCTCTTCACCAGTTTGATTACAACTACAACGATGACAAGGAGAAGGGTGTAACGATAAGGAAACCTAATAAAGCGATCTTGGAACACGAGCAGAAGAGAGCTGTGGAGGTGAAGTGTGTGGAGTTACAGGAAGTGCTGGAAAACCAGGGGTGAGTTAGCTGGGGTAACCAAGGGTGTGTTAGCTGGGGTAACCAGGGGTGAGTTAGCTGGGGTAACCAGGGTGAGTTAAGAGTTAGCTGGGGTAACCAGGAGTGAGTTAAGAGTTAGCTGGGGTAACCAGGAGTGAGTTAGCTGGGGTAACCAGGGGTGAGTTAGCTGGGGTAACCAGGAGTGAGTTAGCTGGGGTAACCATGGGTGAGTTAGCTGGGGTAACCAGGAGTGAGTTAGCTGGGGTAACCAGGGGTGAGTTAGCTGGGGTAACCAGGGGTGAGTTAGCTGGGGTAACCAGGGGTGAGTTAGCTGGGGTAACCAGGAGTGAGTTAGCTGGGGTAACCAGGAGTGAGTTAGCTGGGGTTATCAGGGGTGGGTTAGCTGGGGTTATTAGGGGTGGGTTAGCTGGGGTAACCAGGGGTAATCAGGGGTTACCAGGGGTGAGTTAGCAGGGGTAACCAGGGGTGAGTTAGCTGGGGTAACCAGGAGTGAGCTAGCTGGGGTAACCAGGGGTGAGTTAGCTGGGGTAACCAGGAGTGAGTTAGCTGGGGTAACCAGGGGTGAGTTAGCTGGGGTAACCAGGAGTGAGTTAGCTGGGGTAACCAGGGGTGAGTTAGCTGGGGTAACCAGGGGTGAGTTAGCTGGGGTAACCAGGAGTGAGTTAGCTGGGGTTATCAGGGGTAACCAGGGGTGAGTTAGCTGGGGTAACCAGGGGTGAGTTAGCTGGGGTAACCAGGAGTGAGTTAGCTGGGGTAACCAGGGGTAACCAGGGGTGAGTTAGCTGGGGTAACCAGGGGTGAGTTAGCTGGGGTAACCAAGGGTGAGTTAGCTGGGGTAACCAGGGGTGAGTTAGCTGGGGTAACCAGGAGTGAGTTAGCTGGGGTAACCAGGGGTGAGTTAGCTGGGGTAACCAGGGGTGAGTTAGCTGGGGTAACCAAGGGTGAGTTAGCTGGGGTAACCAGGGGTGCGTAAGCTGGGGTAACCAGGAGTGAGTTAGCTGGGGTAACCAGGAGTGAGTTAGCTGGGGTTATTAGAAGTGAGTTAGCTGGGGTAACCAGGGGTGAGTTAGCTGGGGTAACCAGGAGTGAGTTAGCTGGGGTAACCAGGAGTGAGTTAGCTGGGGTAACCAGGAGTGAGTTAGCTGGGGTAACCAGGGGTGAGTTAGCTGGGGTAACCAGGGGTCAGTTAGCTGGGGTTATTAGGGGTCAGTTAGCTGGGGTTATTACTTTATTAGGGGTAATCAAATACCAAGAGTGGCAAGATGCAAACTTGAATCATAGCACTCCCTACCTCGACCAATCCAAACATAATCCCTGGGAACACATAACTCGGCCATACTGCTCCAAATAATGAGAAGTCTATCAGAAGTGTTCCAATAATAAGAACAATGAATCCTAATAATGTGGTTAAAGCTCGAGACAGTCCCCTATCTGTCAAGTAGCCAAATAGCATGATAGCAAACGAGTAAAACACCCCACAAACCATTAATATTGTCCCTGTTACTTGAACGGTTTTCCGATAGCAGCCCTTAGTACTTTAGTATTACTAGCAGGAACCCGTATAATATAACCCTAAACGGTGTCAAGACTCAAAATATTAAAATAATTATTACCTATTTAATTGGCGTTTTTGACACCACTTGGGGGTCCAAATTTTAGGCTCTAAAATCATTATTCCTTGGCCAATTTTTTATTTTTTCATGCTGATTTGAAGGCCATTAAAGCATTTGACCCAGCCAAAAAAGTTCCAGTTGTATATCTTTTACGGTTTTTGCGGAAAGTCGCGTTAAAGTTGATGCCGTGGTGTCAGTAAAATGGCACAGATATATATATATTTTTTAAAAAAAAATATATATATATATATATATATATATCGTCTCGCTTTATATATAGTAAGATTTCCCGATTTGACATTGTGAACTATACCAATAAAATAATAGGTACAACAAAATCGCCCTAAAGATGAGCCCCTAGTCTGAGTAGGGCACGATAAGCTTTCCCTTTAAGTTCAATAGATTTTTAATTTTAAGATGAGCAACTCCAATGATAACAAATACAGCAAACATAAAAGCTGCAAAGATAATGAACGTTTTTGGAAAAGAAAGTAAGTCCACTAGAGCAGATCCCATCAGAGGCCCAATAAAAGCTCCGATGAAGAACCCTGCATTGTAAACCCCAGTCATTGCTTCAGTTGAGCGTTCCTGATCAGGCTGACCATCATGAAATACCAAGAGTGGCAAGATGCAAACTTGAATCATAGCACTCCCTACCTCGACCAATCCAAACATAATCCCTGGGTACACATAACTCGGCCATACTGCTCCAAATAATGAGACGTCTATCAGAAGTGTTCCAATAATAAGAACAATGAATCCTAATAATGTGGTTACAGCTCGAGACAGTCCCCTATCTGTTAAGTAGCCAAATAGCATGATAGCAAACGAGTAACACACCCCACAAACCATTAATATTGTCCCTGTTACTTCAACGGTTTTCTGATAGCTGTCCTTCATGTAAACGGCCAGGAAGTTGCCAACGAACGCCTCGTCTGCGGAAACAAAAGACATTACAACTATTCCAAGAAGAAGTATTGGCGGTCTGAGCAGAGATTTCATGCTGCTGGTGGTCTCGTTGGTCAAAGTGGTGTCTTCCTCAGATCTTTCTTTGGCACTTTCTGTTATTGCAATGATAGCTATTATGCTCATTATTTGATGAAGGGATCCTGAAGATTGAAGATGTTGTTATTTCAATTTGTTATTGTTTTCAAGAAAAAAAAATGTTAAACTTTACTCAGTTTTATACCCCATCTCTTTCTTTAGCCTATAATATATTGGCACCCAATTTGAATCGCTGAAGTATGAGAAATTAAATCTGGAGTTAAAACTCAATTTATAGAAGGTAATAAAAATTACTCTCACCCGTCACTACAAAAGGAAGATAGAATCCTCCTACATCGTAAAGGAAACCCCCCATCAAGGGTCCAAGTGCCAGGGAAGCACTGAAAGTAAGTTCATATATTGCCGTTACCATCCCGAGGGAATCTTTGTAAATTGATCCCATGACTGCCACGACCATCGGTTCAGCTAACCCTAATGCTGCTCCTTGGATTGCTCTGGAGTATACAATCTATACTTGATCAGACACTTCCTATTAAACCTAAACATTTTACCCAAAACTGATTTTGAAATAGGCAAATAGCCTTCAAGCTATCAATTTCATTCTATTTAGAAATGAAATGAATATTTTTATTTATTTAATTACCTGGATATGAGGACCGATATATCAAACAAGACGTTATTGAACATGGGAATGACAAACACGATAGAGGAAAGAAAAAGGGCTACCCCACTCCACCCAACCATCTTCTTCACAGTGGTTTTTGATGCCACAGATCCTGCTATTAGAGAGGTTACTGCGCCTACGAAAGGCAACGTCCCTGCCAAGACCCCACCAATAATAGCTCTTTGTTTGCGATTTTTTACGATCTCGTCGGTTAGGAAAGGAAGAGTGAGGCTGAAGTAGAGGTTCATCGTCAGAATAAGCAAGGAAAGTACTCCGAATATTGCCGGTTTTTTAAATCTCTGCAGATATCTCAATGGAGCCGTTGGTTTGTCGGATTCTTCTATGATCATGTCTTCCATGTCTGAATCTGGAAATTATGTGACTGAATAATAATATTATATTATAGTTTATAGATATTAGATGTGGATACTGGCGGGGAGGTGACAATTGTATGTTTACGTTTTAGGTGGCGCCTCTATTCAGCAGGTTGTAGAGGAGAAGAGGTGATAATTGTTTGTTTACGTTTTAGGTGGCGCTTCTATTCAGCAGGTCGAAGATGTGATGAAAATTTTGTATTATCGAAGGCTTGTAACCCTTGTAAATCCTTCTTGATACCCCCTCCTTCTTGTTACCCCCCCCCCCCCCCCCCCCCCCCCTTTGAAGGTCCCGAATTATTTTCAGAACGAAAGCTCAAAAATAACCGAGAAATCGACCTTCTTATTAACTCATTTTGATGACTGTTTCTGACCTTAAATTTAAAATAGCTTAAAATAGCTTAAAATATGGAGAAAAGTAGTTTTTAGAAAAACTTATTTTCGAAAATTCAAAATATTTTGTTCGCAAGTGAATTGCATGAAACGTGAAGAAAAATGCTTTTCAAAAAACTCCGTGAATTTTTCGTTTCAAGAATACTAAAATCACCAATATTTGTAGGCGGAGTTCAGTCAATCTCGGCAGATTTTAGTAGTCAGGAATTACTCTGTGGAAAGGTCTGAAACTGAAAAACGTTAACCACACGATATTAGAGTTTCATAACTAATTACAGTAACTTAGCCTTATCGATTTTCACAGAAACTGCACCGAAGGCACAGTCAAGATCGAACCGATAGCCTGCAGCTGTACTATCATTTTATTGATGAATCAGTCACTTCAGTAGGGTGAAGATAATCACATTTGTAATAAATAAAACCTCTCTGTACCGTCAATTGTGCAAATCTAAACCGGCCTAGCTGGATTACCAGACCTATTCTTTTCCTCAACAATCAAACCGAGTTGTGCAAGAAATGTGATTTATCATAGTTCATATCGCAGCCAAACAACAAATTTAGGCACATTTTTCGTTTTTCATATTTACTGATTTTTCTAAAATGTTGATAGGAATGTGCTAGTGAAGTAGGGATTTGGCTGCAGGACTGGAATCGGTCAGATATCAATCAATCTTCCTTTTCTTAAGACCGGAACCAAGTGGCAAACAGGAGAATTAAAATCTTACTGAAAAATTTTAAGATTTCCGACCGCTTGGTGCTAAATCTCAGAAAATTTAAAAATTGTATCCTAACAGTTTTGAAATTTCCGATTTTGTGCACTTCATGTCATTAGACCCTGTGATCCTATGCTAAGGACCCGGCATATAGACTTTTTAACAGGATCAGATCTCGATACATGCTTTTAGGTCTCAAGATCAGACCGTGACCTATTTAACCCAATTCAGTAGCAAAAAACTCTGTACATCGCAGTGCACACTCAACTACACCCTGCTACTGGCATGAAGGCCGGGCTTTCATGGTGCCCAGTAACTCGTAATCCGTTTTATTGATCTATATTATAGCGTACGCTTAGCTGTATATTGACCACATTTGATATAATCACATACGACTAGGAACTCAGGAACCGAGTACCTGTCTGCAAAATAACCGCAACTAGCACATTTATATATGAGTTATCAACAACCAAACACCCTAAAATGTTTCCCTTTGAAGTTGTGGGAGAAAATGTGACTTTTGGCTTTGCAGATAAAAAATGAATTCTCGAAAAAAAAGTGAAACATGTTCAGTTTGGAGAGTAAGTAAGTTAAACTGGGAATGCCCCTTCCCAGGGACCACATCACCCCTAATAAACCATTAAATATCATCGGAGACCATGCACAGCCTCGAATTATAGTATAATGACTTCGAATAAACCTTTTTTGTCTCTAAAAAAAGGCTTAGAAAACTAGATTTATTTACCTCATTTTACCTCATTTTACCTCATCCCAATTTTGCCTTTTTTGGCTGGCCTGGCCTCATGAGGTAAAATGAGGTTGACCCCCCCCCCTCTAATATCGTGTGGTTAACGTTTTTCAGTTTCAGACCTTTCCAAAGAGTAATTCCTGACTACTAAAATCTGCTGAGATTGACTGAACTCCGCCTACAAATATTGGTGATTTTAGTATTCTTGAAACGAAAAATTCACGGAGTTTTTTGAAAAGCATTTTTCTTCACGTTTCATGCAATTTGATCACTTTTGGCGAACAAAATATTTTGAATTTTCGAAAATAAGTTTTTCTAAAAACTACTTCTCTCCGTGTTTTAAGCTATTCCGATCATTTTGAGCCAATAAAATATTTAAATTACATTTTTGCTAATTAGCTAATTGATAATTATCCAATTAACTAATTGTCTGACGTGAAAATTGTCTTCACAAAAGTTTTTCCTCCTGATAAGATAAACATCCTCGATTAATCTGCAACCTTTTACGATGTTCACAACTAAAGATATTCGACAAACAAGAAAGGTGGTAAAAAGAGGTAAAAGTGGAAAAAGTGGCCTTAAGCTCTTAAGACACGTGGAAAAGTTTGGAAAAGTTGGTCAGCCACAAAGGGCACCTATTGAAACTCAAAAACGTCAAAAATCATTTGTAAGCTTCGTGTGTCGGCAGATCGATTTTTTCAGACGGATTTGTCTGTACTAAATCTAAACAACTAAAAGCTCAGTAAACGAAAAACGTCAGAACTGACATTCAAAATATGTACTAACTGGAAAAGCACAAATTTACAATTATTTCAACTTCTTGGAATTATGAACTATTGCCAGTGGCTAGTATAGCTTGTAGAGGGAGTTATGTGCCTCGCCGGGCTAAAGTAGTGGATGACCTTGCTGTACGGCAAGTTAAACAAGGATCTGAAACTACTAGGTTCCGTACAGACTCAACTCTGCACCCGTGTCAATATGTTCATTATATGCAAGCCTCTTGATTTATAATAGCTCTTGCATTGCATACCTTAAGCAGTGTCCACGCAACAGTAATACAATTTCAGACCCGGATCGCACACACAACATCTTACCCTACAAATTTGTATCATACTAAATCAATGAGATTTCATAACTCTATACAACATTCCCCTCATACGATACCTCCCCCTCATACGATACCTTTAAATACCTTCCCCTTTCTAACATTCCTGTATTAGTACCTCAGAACCCTATACGGCTATAATGATTGATCTATAAATTATATCAACATTCTAGTACAGACAGATCCGTCTGAAAAAATCGATCTGCTGACACACGAAGCTTTCAGAGGATTTTTGACGTTTTTGAGTCCCATTAGGTACTTTTCCAAACTTTTCCACGTGTCTTAAGGCCACTTTTTGCCACTTTACCACTTTTTACCACCTTTCTTGTTTGTCGAATATCTTTAGTTGTGAACATTGTAAAAGGTTGCGAATCAATCGAGTGTGTTCATATTATCAGGAAGAAAAACTTTTGTTCAAACAATTTTTACGTCAGATAATAGGTTAATTGGATAATTATCAATTAACCAATTAGCAAAATTCTAAAAAAATTTTATTGGCTAAAAATGATCGGAATAGCTTAAAAAACGGAGAAAAGTAGTTTTTAGAAAAAATTTGAAAATTAATGAATTAATTATTACCGGTTCTTTACTACCCCTTGCCCGACACTGTGCTCGTATCTAAATCTTACCCTTTCCCGTATGTTACCCTTGTTGATTTTACTTTTAGCCGACCCGTTTCTCACGGTATAAAGCGTTTCATAAACCTCATTAAGAGCCATATAATATACACGTACTGTGTCGTATTGTGATTGAATATAGCTCGATATGTATTACTACTTAGTTTACATCACCCACCAAATGCCAGACTTTATTTATTATTTATTATTTAAAATCTGATAAAAGGCTATCTTTAAAGCACCTTTTTGAGCTGGAATTAAAAACCAACGTCCAACAAAACATAAACATCAAATCAGGAAAACATGTCAACGCAAATTATATGTAGATAAACGTCCGATATGAAATATTATGTTACGATACTTCTATATTCGTCAGAAAACATCCAGTAAGATAAAAATTAACCGAATTTGAGAGTTATAAATATAATGTAATGATATTGGGTGTATTCGTACTGAGTCTCAAACAGATAAAGGTCGTGGTTGTTGCATGTTAGTACAGACAGATCCGTCTGAAAAATCGATCTGCCGACACAAGAAGCTTCCTGAGGAATTTTTACGTTTTTCAGTCCCATTAGGTGCCTTTTATGGCTGACCAACTTTTCCAAACTTTCCCACGTGTCTCAAGTCCACTTTTACCACTTTTTACCACTTTTCTTGTTTGTCAAATATCTTTAGTTGTGAACATTGTAGAACTGTAGAAGGTAAAAGGTTACAGATTAATCGAGGGTGTTTATCTTATCAGGTAATTGGGATAATTACCAATTAGCAAAAAGATACATCTTTCATATCACTCATCTACGGTACGGTTCCAAAGCAGATTAGTTGTGTGTCCGTATCAGATGACGGGATGATGTAACAGCACTATAGGCCGTGAGGCCGTCCAGGTGTTAAAAAATAAATGTCGCCCTTATCTCGGGAATTCCTGATTTCTGTTTTTTTATTTTCTATTTTTTTATTGAAATTAATCATTGAAGGAACTTTAAAAGTTTATTATAATCGTTAGTTATAGTACCTTAAGAACGACGAATTTAGTCTACCATAAATTTAGTCAAACTTTTGACTAAAATTGTTGTAAACCAAATTTATTGAGTCTAATTTAAAAGCAGACTAAAATCTCAGTAGATCATATTATATGGATTTGCGTATTATAATTCGACAATTTAAGTTCGCCAGATATCACCCCTAGCCTGTCGAACTTCGGTACGTGTCGAACTTCGGTACGTGTCGAACTAGAGTCCAGGTAGCGTACTCTAGTTCGACAAATAATTGCTGCTTGTAATCCAACAGCTATTGCCGGGTCCTCATCATACTATCATGTAGGATCACAGGGTTCAATGGCAGATAACAAAAATTTTCTGACATCTAGCAACCAGCGGTTAGAAATTCCAGAACTTTTTAGTATAGTTTTAATTTTTCTGTTTGCCACTCGGTTCCAAGGTCAAAAGGAAATCGCCGCACATGTGGAATCGTGATTTTTCCCATTCTCCGCGACAAATCGCGATTTTTGACGTTTGCCGCGACAAATCGCGATATTTTTTCAATTCTCCGCGACAAATTGTGCATTTTTATTTAATTCTGAGGACCAAATTTGCGCATTCTCCTTTAAATCCGAAGGCCAAATATCACGTTATTTATAAAGTTAAAAGTATATGGAACCAATCACAATCAGGGTAGCATGAAACATGAACAAAAGTAGTTTCCAGAAAAAATTTGAAAAAATTTCGACTTAGAAAATGTTCGGCCAGAGTCATTCTCGATAGGTACTTCGATGGCAGAGCTCCTGCTTCCGAGCTCGTATTGCAAAGGCTTTCAGCCAGCCTTCCGAGATCGCATTATAATAATACGTATGTGATGTAAAATGTGTTAGGCATAAGGTTAGTTAGCAGGTAATCTATTCAGTGAGACTTGGGACAATGAGAACATTGGACTACTTGTCCCAGAACCACGCGATTTTGCCTAGTTTGGCTTGTCGCGGCGCCGCGATTTTTGGCCTAAATAATCGCGATTTTCTTTTGTCCTTGGACTCGGTTCTGGTTAAGCTGACAGGAAAATAGATTGATATCCGACTGTTTCCGGTTCTAGACCGGTACTCGGTTTCTAGTCGTTTGTGATAATATAAAGTGTCATGTGGTAAGTGGTAGATATTTATATAGCGTACGAGTCTGCAATCTAGATCTATAAAACGGAGTACGGGTTGCCACGATAGTCATTTATCTCTCCGCTAAGTCTACAATTCTGCTAACTAACAATTGAGTTGGAGGTCAATTAAATGTTCATAGATATGGATTATCTAATACATAATATTTGAACAGCATGAGACAAGTGGAAAACAAACAAACGAATAGATTTCAAGCTCGTAAAGAATCGTTGCTTGAGATCGGAGATTTCAAAACTCTAGTTCGACAGTCGAAGTTATCTTGTCGAACTTTAGTACGTGTCGAACTTGAGTCCAGGTAGCGCACCAGGGGTGAGATAGTTAGGGTAACCAGGGTGAGTTAGCTGGGGACTGGCGTTATCATGGGTAACCAGGGGTAATCAGGAGTAAGTTAGCTTGGGTTACCAGGGGTAAGTTAGCTTCCTGGCTAGTAACTAGACTCACGAAATTATTGTCATTAATATCCCCATCACGATAATCTTTTTGTTTGATTAGTTTCATGAAAACATTTTGTTAAAAGTAAACATTTTATAAAACTTACATCTTACATAAATACTTTTATTGGAAAATATATTTTGATTCGTCACATAAATATCTTTGTCTAAAGTGTCCGGTACGCGTAGTCAGAGTACGGTTCGATTATGAGATTTCCCTTCATGTTCAATAGATTTTTCATTTTTAGATTTGCAATTTCAATAATAACAAATACAGCAAACATAACAGCTGCAAAGATAATGAACGTTTTTGGAAAAGAAAGTAAGTCCACTAGAGCAGATCCCACCAGAGGCCCAATAAAAGCTCCGATGAAGAACCCTGCATTGTAAACCCCAGTCATTGCTTCAGTTGAGCGTTCCTGATCAGGCTGACCATCATGAAATACCAAGAGTGGCAAGATGCAAACTTGAATCATAGCACTTCCTACCTCGACCAATCCAAACATAATCCCTGGGTACACATAACTCGGCCATACTGCTCCAAATAATGAGACGTCTATCAGAAGTGTTCCAATAATAAGAACAATGAATCCTAATAATGTGGTTACAGCTCGAGACAGTCCCCTATCTGTTAAATAGCCAAATAGCATGATAGCAAACGAGTAACACACCCCACAAACCATTAAAATTGTCCCTGTTACTTCAACGGTTTTCTGATAGCTGTCCTTCATGTAAACGGCCAGGAAGTTGCCAATGAACGCCTCGTCTGCGGCAACAAAAGACATTACAACTATTCCAAGAAGAAGTATTGGCAGTCTGAGCAGAGATTTCATTCTGCTGGTGGTCTCGTTCGCGTTAGTCAAAGTGGTGTCTTCCTCAGATCTTTCTTTGGCACTTTTTGTTATTGCAATGATAGCTATTATGCTCATTATTAAATGAAGCGACCCTGAAGATTGAAGATGTTGTTATTTCAATTTTCTTTAAAGAAAAAAAATTGTTCAACTTTACTCAGTTTTATACCCCATCTCTTTCTTTAGCCTATAATATATTAGTACCTACCCAATTTGAAGTATGAGAAATGAAATTCGAAGTTAAAACTCAATTTATAGAAGGTAATAAAAAATACTCTCACCCGTCACTACAAAAGGAAGATAGAATCCTCCTACATCGTAAAGGAAACCCCCCATGAAGGGTCCAAGTGCCAGGGAAGCACTGAAAGTAAGTTCATATATTGCCGTTACCATCCCGAGAGAATCTTTGTAAATTGATCCCATGACTGCCACGACCATCGGTTCAGCTAGCCCTAATGCTGCTCCTTGGATTGCTCTGGAGTATAAAAACCATACTTGATCAGACACTTCCTATTAAACCTAAACATTTCGCCCAAACTTATTTTGAAATAGGCAAATAGCCTTCTATTCAAGTTATCAATTTCATTATATTTAGAAATGAAATGAATATTTTTGTTTATTAAATTACCTGCATATGACGACCGATACATCAAACAAGGCGTTATTAAACATGGGAATGACAAACACGATAGAGGTAAGGAAAAGGGCCACCCCACTCCACCCAACCATCATCTTCACAGTGGTTTTTGATGCTACAGATCCTGCTATTAGAGAGGTTACTGCGCCTACGAAAGGCAACGTCCCTGCCAAGACCCCACCAATAATAGCTCTTTGTTTGCGATTTTTTACGATCTCGTCGGTTAGGAAAGGAAGAGTGAGGCTGAAGTAGAGGTTCATCGTCAGAATAAGCAAGGAAAGTACTCCAAATATTGCCGGTTTTTTTAATCTCTGCAGATATCTCAGTGGAGCCGTTGGTTTGTCGGATTCTTCTATGATCTTGTCTTCCATGTCTGAATCTGGAAATTATGTGACTGAATAAAAATATAATATTATAGAGTTATAGTTTATTATTCCAGTATCATCACCAATCTAAACAACTAAGAGCTCAGTAAACGAAAAACGTCAGAACGGACATTCAAAATATGTGCTAACTGGAAAAGCACAAATTTATAAATATTTCAACTTCTTGGAATTATGAACTATTGCCAGTGGCTAGTATAGCTATAATAGCTCTTGCATACCTTAAGCAGTGTTCATGCAACATTAATACAATTATTTCAGACCCGGATCGCACACACAACATCTTACCCTACAAATTTGTATCATCCTAAATCAATGAGATTTCATAACTCTCTACAACATTCAAAATTCACAAATTTATTAATTATCAAGTACGTTCTCCTCAGTATTATTCAAGTTCAGTGCGATAGTGCCTTGCTACGTAAACGCTACTTGAAACAAATTAAATACAAATAACACCTCACAAAACTAAACAACACAAAAGCAACCACTTTATTCGATTTCTATTTTTTAGCCTAATCAGTTATAATCATATTGATAAGGCCTAGATAAAGAGATAAGGACACTTTATTTCACTTAATTAGTTAAGTATATATATACCACGAAAATCCAATTTTAGCTCATAATATAATTTACTTGTAGATCTAAATAGAAATCATATCACGATTCTGTAGCATACAGGACCTCCGGTTCTCGTGAAAGAATCTGATTTGAACTATAGTTTACAATACATTTCATTGTTTTATATACTATCAGTATCATAATCATAATATTTAGCTCTAAATGGAATCCACTGTTACATCTAAAAACAAAGGACCAAGATCAAATGTTCAAGCTGCAGCGGCTGGTGTTACTCTCTTAGAAATATTCGCACATGCTCATGGTGCCAAAGTAATGTCCATGTCAAATGTTTTAAGGATAATTTAGGCTGTACGAGTTGCTGTGAAAGTATCATTCCTGGATTTCACGCAACTTACTATGGAATCTATGACGACTACAATAAACTTAATAGTGACATATTTAATCCGTATGATCAGAATAGTCGATTTAATCTTATTGGCGACGCCATGACCAACGAAGAGCATCAATCGTATCTACATTTTTCAATGACGTATGTGACGAAATTTACATTTCTTGACCCTATTTTGAAGAACACCTCTGTTAGAATTCAATGTTCTTCCAGGAATTATTGGTTGGTTATTTTTCAGCAATTAGAACTCAAGTTTAACAATGCTGAGTTTAATTGGACTAAGTTACTGAAATGTGACGAAATTTACTTTTCCTGCCCCAACGGTATAATTTCAATGTGATGACAAATTGGTATGGGTTTCTATATTTCCTGTAGAAATCGATTAAAACCATTAAAATTGTCCCTGTTACTTCAACGGTTTTCTGATAGCTGTCCTTCATATAAACGGCCAGGAAGTTGCATAAACATAGTGATTGTGAAAAACTTATACAAAGGATGCCACAATGCTCGCAACATGCCGCCACCTCTTACATGCCGCCACCACCTGAGCTGCAAAATTTGTCCACCACTCCATAGAAATTAGAATTAAAGATTTTAAGTGATTAAACCTCATTCTGTCCGATAACCATAATGATATTATAGCATAGGACTACTTGTTCCAGAACCACGTGCTTAAGAACAACTTGTTCACTTGAAGAACTGCGGAAATTTCTGCGAATTCGCCGCGATTTTCGAGATTTTCGCCGCGATTTTGCCTTGTTTGGCTTGTCGCGGCACTGCGATTTTTGGCCTAATTAATTGCGATTTTATTTCGACCTTGGAGGGGAAGGGGAAAGGTATCCACATTTATATGGTAGTGTTTTCGTATCACATTATCTATTACTAATGATTCCAATACAGTCTAACCTAGCGTACTTGTAACTTGATACTAAAGATCTAACGCATATCCTAAAAGATGGCGTTGAGACATCCTGCTATTAATCTGATGATATGAGAACTGAAAAAAAGTTTGAATAATACTTGACAAACTTATTACAACATTTAAAAAATAAATAATAAACCAAGAAAAATTAAGGAGAAAATGAAGATGAAGTCTCCTACAAAGTTATTATTCTACTACGGCTAAGACACGGTTACCCAAACTAAGCGGCCCAACCAAATTGTAACAACCCCCTCCCTTCCTCCCTCACCGAAGCCCGGGCCGATCCGGACCAACTCCTCTAAACTCTATAAACACTGAAGTTTATTCGAGAACAATGATCATGAATAAATTACATCCCCTTTCCTGCAAAGCTAAAGCTCAGCTAATCGTTTATAATATGCACTTATTAAATATCGGTTGTAAATGTAACTTCGTTCCCTTAAAATATATATTAACAGAAACTTCAAGTTTATTCCATGAATATCATGAATCAACTTTATTTATTTATCTGAGCGTTGATACTAAATAGTAAAATACGCACCGTACATTCAGATAACAATTTAATTTCTGCTGCAGTCGGCACTCACTTCGGACAATGAAAAGATTCGTGATTACCTGGAAAAGGTGTTTGATAAAGAAGTACATAAATTATGATTTGTTTCTGAATTTCATTCGAGCTTATTCGAGTTATTAAGTTATTGATTATTGTAAACATTGAAATCAAGGTTTGATAAACAAGCTAGAAATACTGTCATAGTACACCAATATACATAAACCAAGCAAACTCAGTAGCTTTAGGGGGATGTCAATCTTAATCCCCAGACAATATTTATAGAATATCGATAATAAATATTTAATAAACGTCGAAATTCATTTTTGAGTACAAGGTACCCAAAGATTAGTAACATATAAATTGGCTACCAAATTCGTTAATTCATGCGAAAGTGAAAGTATTATCATTTAATGAAAATTTTAAAATGTTCGGTACAAAAAAAGGTGATATTTTTCAATAAGTATTTAAGAAAGTTTTATTCAGTTGTATTCAAATTGTCCTGAATATCTGCTATCAATAACCAGTGCTATTTTATAGCTATATAATAGCCTCAGACATAATAATGTTCACTCCGTAGTCCTACTGGAAGCTCTGTGGACATCCCAGCTTAGGTATGTTCTGTAACTTAGAGGACTTGGAAGCACATATCTTAGTTTCTACTTCCCAAGCAGGCATGTTAATCGCCGCTATGACGTCACCCTCAGCATCCCAGGTCATCATGGAACACTTCATCGCGTAGGCTTCAGCAGCATTACATCCAGGCAGGAGGACCCTATCTACTTTAGGTATAACCATCCAGGGGTAGAGATCGTTTTGAATGTTCATTCCTTTACACTGGTCATAAACACAGGCGTCAATAAAGGGTTCCTTGTCGTGCACGCAGTTCTCAAAGTCGTGGTTCCCAAAGATCTTGGCGCATTTCTCTTCCGCCTTCTTGAATTTCCTAGCTCCGCAGAGTGCCTCCATCTGGTCCATGGTAGGGGCTGGGGTTCCCGCATCACATTGCCAGTTCCTGTCCACTTTCAGACTCTCTGAGAAGACTATGAGGTTGCTGTTCTCCGTTCCCCACACATTCCAGTCGTTCAGGGGGTCCTGGTCGTTGTCCCCACAGAGCCCCTGAGTTTGGGCAGTTTGAGGTACTTCTATTGTTACTGTCGTCAGACCATCCCAATACACCTTCAGCCAGTCCTGCACCCCGTTTCCGTTTCCATCCTGCTGGTCTAACAGAAGACTGACTATCAGTGTGGATCCTGAGAACTCCACGTCGAGCTCTCCTACTTTTATTGGTGATTTCAGCTGTACTGTCTCTATTTTCTTCCCCTTGTGGTTCACGATCCACCCTCTCTGCAACTCAACAGCATCTCCTCTGGCGTAGATAGTGACTGATTCCAGGCACACTCCCTCAGCCAGGTGGCCACATGGTCGCATTCTCCCGTAGATAAACCAGCTAGCGGCGTCTTGGTCCAGTGCCAAAACGTAATCACAGCTCGACCCAGGTAAATTGTAGATACTCCCATCAAATGACACGATGTGAGGGTCCCCAAACACCTGACAAGAAGACCGAGCACTGCTGATCATGGTTAGCGCCCCCCAGTTTGGGAGGGATGTACTGCTGGACTCGGGACTAGCTTCTGTTACACCGGATACCGGGTTATTCTGGGCCTTGTCAGGTCTCTGAACGTGAAGGTAGAACTTGGCTAGGTTAACATCACATGCTTGTAGGTCAGTGTCCTTGTTGATGCAAGCCCTGCATCTGTACCATCCCTCATCACTCTTCGTAACGTACTGCTTGGCGAGGTATATCTCTGCAGTTTCAGTGATGTCAATCCTTCCTTTCGGGTGACTTGGTCGAGATTTAGTGCTCTTTGAGTAATCAGCCCACCAGCCGTGCTCCGGACTGCTTAAGTCACGTGACTTGTCGTTCTCGTAGATCAGGCTCAGCTCCAGGTCGTGTTTAGGCCAGTGTGGCAAATGGTCCGCTGCATCCGAGGCCTTGCATTCAAATTCGACCATGTCTCCTTCTTTCACAGTTTTGCTCTGAGAGTAAGAGTTGAGAACTGGATATGGATGAGGATCAAATACTCCAATCTCATCCAGTCCCTCAGCAGAGGATGAGGATGTTATTAAGGGCGAAGATGTGGGTTCTAATTCTGGAAATCCAACTGTTGGATCCAACTCAACATCGTTACTAAATGATACCGCGGCAGTGGCGAAGAACAGTGCAAAAAGCACTAAAACAACTTTTTGCATCATCACCCAGAAAACGACAACAAATCGTAAGCGCAGTAAATATTAAAAACGGGAATTTGTGCAAGAATTGATCTATTCTGTGCCCACAAATATCTTAAGGTCCTGATTATGCAAACTCTGCAATAATATCAGGTCCTGCAAGTAACTCAATTACACTTTTTATAACTTTACAGTTAAATGAGTTAGTGATAGCATTTAACGCTCCAACGTTAGAACTCCGTCTGATTCTGATCAATCAATCCCCAAAAATATACCACTATAAAGTTGCGATGTCTCGATGGTGCTGTAAATCATATTATAAATCTGCTTCAGACTCAGTATACACTGTATAATATAACTCAATTCTCATATTATTAATTATTATTGTTATTAATACCAGTGACGTGTAGTATGTGAAAAGTATGTTCTTTTATTTGTGAAAGTTTGTGGAACGTCAATAACTTGTTCGAATCCTCTTATAAATCGTGGAATACCGGGGAATGCCGTTTTTCACATTCCAGTAGTTTTTCTTGCAGAATAATGAAAAATGAGTTCGAATTACAATCTTACTATCTTACTATATATAAAGCGAGACGATGTATATGGATGTGTTTATCCGTGCCATTTTACTGACACCACGGCATCAACTTTAACGCAACTTTCCGCAAAAACCGTAAAAGATATACAACTGAAACTTTTTTGACTGGGTCAAATGCTTTAATGGCCTTCAAATCAGCATGAAAAAATAAAAAATTGGCCAAAGAATAATAATTTTAGTGCCCAAAATTTTGACTCCCAAGTGGTGTCAAAAACGCGAATTAAATAGATAATAATTATTTTAGTCTCTCGAGTCTTGACACCACTTTAGAGTTCTGGGTTAGACGGGTTCCTGCTAATAATAATAATAGTAATACCTTTGTTAAATTTACATAGCTGTGCGCCTGCTTAATCGGTTAATTTCGCAGGCTTGTTTCCTACAGGAAGTTATCTTTGACCAGGGCCGGGATAGTCTATATTTTATTAAACTACTCTTAATTTCAGGTACACAGAGCTTGAGATTGCAGAACAGGTCAGCGCTCTGAGAATTAGCTTGATGAACAGCGGAAAAGTGATCTCTAAACGCAAAGGGTATGTTACTTGGTTAATAAGTTAGTTACTATGTTGGTTACTAAGTTGGTTACTAAGTTGGTTAGTAAGTTGGTTACTAAGTTGGTTACTAAGTTAGTTATTAAGTTGGTTACTAAGTTGATTACTATGTTGGTTACTATGTTGGTTACTAAGTTGGTTACTATGTTGGTTACTAAGTTGGTTACTGAGTTGGTTACTATGTTGGTTACTATGTTGGTTACTATGTTGGTTACTACGTTACTTGACCGTGTAGCTGGGTATGTTACTTGAGCATGTACTAGTGATTGATCTGTTTGATAATGCTCCCAAGATCAGCTGTGAAAACTGCTGTTGGTTTAAAACTTGCTAAAAACATACTGCAGGGCTCAGTTGTATCACTAAGATTTTATACATTTCTCTGTATGCCCATTACATCACACAATTAACTATTCAATTATTCTGCGTAAACACACAATAAATTAAGTAATTAGTTTTCAATTTAGAGATATTAATTAGAATATTACCGTCAGTGAGACGCACCATCTGGCGGAGGCACAGCACAGGAAGAATGAGAAGATGAGGGAAGCGTTCGGTATCAAAGCTAAGGAGGACGGGGAGATTAAGGAGGATAGTTCGGATAGTTCTGAGGAGGAGGGAGCTGATAAGGAGAATGGGTAAGGAGCAAGGAGAATTTAATGATCTTTCAAACTTATGCTCTATTTATTTTTTACGATTGTTGATGCCAAGAAAGTGAACGGATAGATTTAGAAAATTCCAGGACATTTTACGTTAAAGCAGTCATAAATCTAACGTGATCAATGATATGGCTAAGAATAGTAGAATTCCCGCACAATTTTTTCCATAATCTTATTACGATATCTTTACAATATCTTTGCAAAAAGTACAAATTCCATCATAGGGAGGAGAAACCTGATAATGAGGAGGCTGAATCAGAGGACACTGACTCAGAGAATAAACTGCAGTAAGTCAAAAGTGTAATTAGTGTATATGTCTACAAACTTTGCTTGGTTTTAAAAATCTCCGTGCCCCCCCCCCCCCCTCGGGCCCCTATACTACAGCAGTACACTTAGTTGAACACTGTTAACTTTTGAACAACTACAAAAACAAACCGAGTTGATAATGTTATAATTCAACATTTCTTCACAGGAAAAAGCCTAAGGTTTTGGACGACGACAAAGAGTAAGTCGCATCGAAATTAAATTCTTAAATGATCATTCCATTAATAAACTCACTATCTAGCAAAACCACTAAAATTTCCTTGAAATTTCAATAAAATTTTTATAAATCTCAATGTATTGCGGCAGTATTTTCGGTAATTTCCAGTCAATTTTTATACCAATAAAAATACATTTTATCTAGATAAACAGATAACTTTTATTAACGAATTATCGGGGATAATTATCGGTTACGATTATCGGAGCGGATAGAGCATAGTTCTCAAACATCAGGTTGTTGAGTTATGTGGCCAAACCCTATTTTAAGGCTCTGGCAAGTAGCAATTACAGCACTTAAAATCAAAATAACTCTGCTTCTGATTGGAGTTAGGAGCTGAACTTGGGCATTAAAATATCCAGAATCATCATATTAAGTGGGGTGGAGCATGGTTTCAAAGTCCTTGGATGTCAGGTTGTTGAGTTAGACTAACTCAGTTAGTAGGCCAAACCCTGTTCTTACGTTCTCGCGAGTAGAAAATACAGCACTTAATACTTAAATACTAGATACCTCTGCTTCTGATTGGAGTTTAGTGTTAAACTTGGCTATTAAAATGTTCAAATTCTTCGCATTGAGTAGGATACTCAGACTTCAGGTTGTGTATTTATGTGGAGCCAAGTGCTCATCTTGGGAATTAAAAGTAGAATTTGGTTGTAAAGGCCCTACTATAGTTAATCTGGTGGAGTTCTACTTTTTTAAAACCCCAGTGCAGTGTGCAACTTTTAAAATACTTTTTTACATCCTTTTCACATACCTTTCTGTACCAGAGAGAAAGAAAACAGGTCAGACCCAGGACGGAAGCGTCGTGGTAGTGAAGCTAGCAAATCGAAGTGGGAAGCAGATAACAGTACAACACGCTGGGAGCAGGACCGTGCAGACAGACGGGGCGGTAGAGACAGGAGACAGGAGACAGGAGACAGGAGACACTCTCCTTCGCCTCGCAGGGGGAGGAAGTCTCCTTCTCCCAGACGAGGCCGGGGGTCTGCTTCACCCAGACGCAAAAGGCAGTCTCCTTCACCCAGACGAGGCCGGGGGTCTCCTTCTCCACGTAGAGGGAGAGATCAGAGGGACGACAGGAGACGTCAGAGATCAAGGTTGGTACTCTTTCTAATTGTCCGTTATTTGTCGGTTTTCTTTGGTGACAGTGTACTGTTTTTAAGCTTTACTCTCTCGGTGATGATGACTAAAGCTCTTCAATAGTTCTGAATGTCTAGTGTGTTGTAGAGAGTTGCTATAAGTGCTGTATGAGTATCTTAGTTACTGTGGTTGGTGTGTCATTGTTCAATCCAGTGTTTTTAAACGACTCCGTGAACCTCTCCTTTTGTCGCTTTGAATAAAGATCGCTACTTTGAAGGGCAGACAACTTGTTTGTTTGTGGTGCACCTCAATTCTTAAGTAAGAAGGACAGACAACTTGTCATTGGTTTACATCACTCCTATAATATGGTACGACTAAAACAGTGACCAGCTAAATGGTGAGATGTCTAGTGTCACTTACACTAGTCTAAAGCGTACTGTTTACATGTGTAGAGCTCTCTATATGTAACAATATGTAACACAATATTAATATATAACAATATGTAACACAATATGTAACACAATATGTAACACAATATGTAACACAATATGTAACACAATATGTAACCTAATATGTACTGTAACACAATATGTAACACAATATGTAACAATATATAACAATATATAACAATATGTAATTATATGTAACAATATGTAACAATATATATAACAATATGTAACAATATGTAACAATATGTAACAATATGTAACACAATATGTAATTATATGTAACAATATAAATATGTAACAATATATAACAATATATAACAATATATAACAATATGTAACAATATGTTACAATGTGTAACAATATGTAACACAATATGTAACAATGTGTAACACAATGTGTAACACAATGTGTAACAATATGTAATAATATGTAACAATATGTAACAATATGTAACAATATGTAACAATATTTAACAATATATTGTAACAATATTTAACAATATGTAACACAATATGTAACACAATATGTAACACAATATGTAACACAATATGTTACACAATATGTTACAGGAGCAGAGACCGCCCAGCGAGAAGAAGAAGATCAGGATCTTCAGGACGTGAAGACTCGCGCAGCAAGAAGAGGCGTAACGACTCAGCAGAGAGGAGGAACAGGGTCCGTGAGAGACGAGAAAGAGACAGAAGCAGTCCGTCTTCTCCTGTAAAAGAGAGACGAGAGAGGAGACGATCCAGGAAGGAGAGCGAGTCTAAAGTCAGGTGAGATTAGTATTGTTATTATGTATGAGGTCATTAGTGACGTCATAGTACATTTGACATTTTATTTAGTCTAGTTGGGAATACGAGAATTGAATTGTTTAAAATTCAAAAGATTACATTACTAAATATCTTGTTAATCGTCAAGGGCATCATCAGCATCTGAGGAAAGAGTTGTGAAGAAAAAGGACCGTAAAAAGAAAAAGGAAAAGTAAGCATTATTTTAAGGCGTTTTCTTTTTGTTTCAAGTTACTTACTCAAGGTACTTGTTCTGTTTTTCACTGTGAAAATATCTTGATATCATATTACATGTGTAGTGCACGGGAAATAGGACATGTTTCTATTTTCAGAATAAAAGCAGAAAATGTTCGAAACCTTACATTAAAATTTACATTTGATATTTCAACGGCTTTCCGTTCCGGTAACATACCTGCCCTTTGATCCTTTGTACAGACTGTCCCTGATATTCTTTACCAGTATATTATTTAACAGTGACGGCGAAAAGTAATGTTATACTGAGCTTAGTTTAATGAGTTGCACATGTTTCAGGCAAGAGAAGGAAAGGAAGAGTAGGCAGAGGTAACTTTCATTCTTATTACTAACACGGACAGCCATCACTCTTTAAAAAGGATATTTTATGTGTGATTTTGTTTTTAAGGCTCGTTTTTATTTGGCGGAAATTATTCCACCGTTTATCTGATTAATATTTTCTTGTTTAGGTCGTCGTCAAGAAGCGAGAGCCCGGTCAAGAAGTAAGATAATCTCATAACTTTAATCATGAGTTGAAAACTGCTTCTAAGCAGAAAATCAACCTTACCAACTTTACAATTTTCTAAATAAATATATATTTAAATATATATTTAGATTATATTCCCCCTTTATAACCCGTAACAAGAGGCAAACTAACGCTGTGTATTTTAAAGGAGGCTATGGATTGAGACAACCTCCTTCTCACTTAGCCTTATAGTTATATTTTGAAGGTGAGATTATTGTATCTTCCTTTTCTCTTTCGCAATTCTAAACAGATTAAATAAAACAACTGTCCTAATAATACACAGGCGAAGTTACTAACCAGCCTAAACTGTAACGTTATAGCATGTGCATTGTGCAGTGTGCATTTACGTCACAACTCTACTCGTAATTCTACTCAAAACCTCCCAACGTATAGTGGAAAGTGCGCCAGAATACTAACACCTACTTTTAAGTTGGAATACTGATATGAAATCAAATAGGTTGCTTAAAACAATATGTCGACATTTCAGAAAACCAGGAAATCAATAAAATTTCAGTAGATTTAGCTTAAATGACAAGTTCAGGTATTTCATCAGTGTGACATTAATTAGCTGACATTTATTGACTTAAAACTCGGGATCACAGCGTCAATATGATCCAATATACGTTATTAAGTCTTGTTTTACTGTTAAATGTTTATTACCCTTACTCATTAAGAAAATGTTAACACGACATAATATTTTCAGGGACAAGAAGAAAAAATCCAAAAAGTAAGTTATCCATTTTTAAAATCTCATTGCAATTTTTTGTGAATTACAGTTCGAATTTATTTAGCACTAATTTATATAATCACCAACCTCTTAAAAATCACCAACTTTCAACGTCATCCAACTAACATTTGCTTTCTTTCAGAGAGTCAAGCTCTGACCAGTAAGTTACAAGGGGACAAGAGAGGCTCACAGATCATTTAAAACATTGATATAATTTTTCCTTAAATTGATTTCTTGCCAAATATTTAAAGCTCATATTCCCAAGCGGGCGCAAAGTAGACAATGTTTTGTTTAATCTGTTAATTTAATTTAATACAGGTCTGAGCCTGAGGAGGAAGTATCAAAGAAGCAGAGGAAACTCAAGAAGAAGGAGAAGCACGAGGTATTTTACTTTTTACTGATTAAACTTTAGTTCAAGTTTGCGATGCTTCATAAAGACATAATAAGAAGTCCTATAAGAAAAAATCAAGATTTTATCCTCAAATTCAGGACTCAATAACAGCACTCAACAAATAAACCAGCTTATTTTTAGTGACCAGAAACTTGTTCATTTCATTTTAAAGCCAGAATAAGAAATTAGTATATTTTGTTTAATTTAATTTTTAATAGGAGAAGAAGCTAAAGAAGAAACAGAAGAAAAGGCAGAAGAAAGAGCTGGAAAAAAGGAAGAGGCGTAGATCTTCTAGCGAGTCTGGGAGTGAAGAAGAAGAAGAGACAGTGAAACGGAAGAAGAAGGAGAGAGCAAGGTAACTTTGAATTACAAACACCTAGTCGCTTCATATTAATTTCAATGGTAAACTTTTATTTTGAGAAAGTTACCAATCATTCCTGATCTTACTATAAAGTAAAATATATCGAAATTTCATTAAACTCTGTTCACAAAACCAGATTATGATTAAATTATTTCACAGTCCGGCGAAGAAGAAACGGAAAGAAAGCAGCTCTGAAGCCGCAGAATCTGAAAGTGAACCTGAACAACAAGCAACACATGAACCAAGTCCCGAAAAGGAGCCGAAACGAAGAGCTCGCAAATCTTCTAGTAGTCCCGAAAAGAAGAAAAAGAGACGGGGACGCAAGGAATCAAGTAGCCCAAAGAAAGCAGTCGTGCAGAAAAAGCGTGATAGTTCGAGTGGCTCAGAAGAAGAGGCTCCTGAACAAGCTCGACCATCACCTTCTCCTGAAAAGGCTCGCAGAAAAGCACGGAAACCTTCCAGTAGTTCGGAGCCAGAATCTCAACAAAAAGCTGAAAAATCATCATCCAGTAGTTCAGATAGTGAACCTGAAGTCAAAGATAGATCGCCATCAAGAAGCCCCGAACCAGAAAAACGAGCGAAAGCTCCTTCAAGCAGCCCTAAACCAGAAAAGAGACGAAAGGCACCTTCGAGCAGCCCTGATTCGAAACAGAAACCTCAATCCCCGGTTAAAGAAGGATCCTCCTCATCCTCGTCGTCTGGATCAGATTCTGAACCAGAAGCAGCCCCCAAGTCCCGGTCCCCCGCCGCTCCACAAAGTGCAGCCAGCTCCTCTAGCTCTAGTGAGGATGAAGCTCCTACAAAACAAGACAGCTCTAGTGACTCGTCTCCTGAACGTCAACAGAAAAGTCCTTCCCCTCAGAAACAACCCTCTAGGTCGCGTGATAGAAGATCCCGTGAGAGAAGGTCACGTGATAGCCCTGTGAGGAGGAGGGGTCATTCTCCGCCACGCAGATCTCCTCCAAGAAGGAGATCCCCTCATTCTCGGGACAGGAGAGATCGTGGTCCTAGACGATCACCTCCCAGATCACGAGACAGGTTTTCACGGGACAATGGATCACGGGATGGTAGACATGCTAGAAACAGGAGTCCTCCAAGAAATAGGAGTCCGCCAAGACGTGCAGCGCGAAGTCCCTCTCCTCCAAGGCGTGCAGCTCGAAGTCCCTCTCCTCCAAGTCGTGCAGTGCGGAGCCCTTCTCCACCAAGGCGTGCAGCGCGGAGCCCATCTCCGCCAAGACGTGCAGCGCGGAGCCCCTCTCCTCCAAGGCGTGCAGCAAGGAGCCCCTCTCCAAAACCCAACAAATCACCTGTGAGACGAAGTCGTCAGAAGAGTCCTGAGAAGAGCAAACAATCGTCCTCAAGTGGTAGTTCTGCAGACAGCAGCAGTTCTTCATCAGACAGCGATTAGAGTGACATTGTGACGACTTTTATCTATTTCAACCCACTGATATTACCGACCATTCCACTTTCAGAGTACAGTTTTGAGGCATATGGTTTTAATTTCTTATTTGATTAAATTTTGAGAAGTTGAAAGAATTTTGCATAAACTTTGTGTAACAACGATGGCACTGATTGTAATAAAGGTTAACTTTTTTCTTGTTATCACCCATAATATAACGATATACACTGTTTTTATTTGATGTTTGTCAAAATGCGGAATTTTGGTGTTTGTGCGGTGTCCAGTGTTGATCGTCTGGGAATCAGTTGACAAAAGCCACTGCCCCAATCCACTCGGACCTATCATCGGCTATTGCTAGTTTTCACGCTATTCTTATGTACAAATTCTATCTGGTCGCGCGCACGCACCATCTGATCTAGCCACTGCGCGCGCGTACATGGTTTTCACCCTCGCTCTGTGTTAGAATTATAGTGAGTGTCTCAAAAAGGCGACGAAGGTACTTTTGTTAATAACTCGCCTCAGGTACAACCTCGCGACATGAAATATCTCAATTCATGTGCTTTGGTGTTCTGAAATCTCTTGAAAGTTTCATTGCAAAAATCAACCAGGAACCTGCTCATTTGGTATATTCATTTAACGGCCAGATAAGCACTGATTAGATTTCTTAAAGAGCTTATTTTATGGGGATGCTGTTGAGCACATTTGGCCGTTTTAAATTAGAACGTTTTGTTCAGAATTTTGAAATGAATAATCTTTAACCAAGTCGGCCGGGTGGTGTAGTGGTAACACGATCGCCTCCCAAGCAGAAGGCCCGGGTTCAAATCCGGTCGGATGCAAGTCGGCCAGTTACCAAGCTGTGATTTGGTACTCACCATCTGGCTCTTAGGACTAACTCCCCTTACATAACATGGGGACCCCAGGCTAATATGTTCATTAACATATTAGAATAATAAAGATTCGGCGGAATGACAGGCTGAGCGCAGCCCAGTAAAACTCCCCAACAGCTAGTATAGCATTTTTTATGCATCCTGTAAATTGCTTCTCCATTATTATGGGATGATGATCAATAACTATACACTTGACACTTAACGCATAACGGGTGATACTCGTAAAATATCTGTTCCATATATTATTATTAGGACTTCACATAACCATGTGTCTACGGAATGACAGGCTGAGCGCCGCTCAGTAAAAGCAGTTCTGCTTAGACTTAGAACCGATCAAGAATTAAATCAGCACACGAAACCTGCAATAAATTGCTCTGAACAAGATTCCTGTGATATTTTAGAGCTCATCATCACATGACCTAGAACAAGCCGATAGCATGAAAAATGCAGATCGAGATTTCAGAAAATTGTGAAAAAGATTCATGATGCTGCCACACCCTACTCGAATGGACCATTTTCTCGAACTCCGGAGGTCATAACTCTGTAACTCAGGCCCTGCGAATAATAAAATATGGCGTCCGTTCTTGATTTATTTACACTGATCACTAACTCTTGGTCGCCTTTTTTGGGACATCCTGTAAATTGCTTCTCCATTATTATGGGACGATGATCAATCACTATACACTTGACACTTAACGCATAACGGGTGATACTCGTAAAATATCTGTTCCATATATTATTATTAGGACTTCACATAGCCATGTGTTTACGCGTACTGCGTGACGCTTGCGGCGGTCGCGCGCTACTGCAAGCGAGAGGGCTCTGGTTAGATCAATATTAGGACCGTCGACGAGTCCAAGTCCAACTCGGCGCGCGTCCTGGTAGGTTGTAAACCTACAACTATACACTAAACTGTCACGTGACTTTTTTAACATGTTCTCTAGCTGGCCCTGAATGACTATTCGAAATCCTAGCCCTCTTATAATCTGATCCTAACCCAATCTTTACCAAAAACATATGGCTATGCTGAAACCCTTACCGGTACCCTAACGAGAATCGACCGTAGAGGCCGTTTTTCGCCCATATCTCGCCAGGGGGGGGGGGGGGGGGGGGCATAATTAATTAATTTAAACCTATGTCATGGGGGCTATTCGGAATCAGCGTTCGAAAATACCTTAATTCCCAAAAATTTGGGCGACAAAAAATTTGAGCGGGCCTCTCGCCCAAATTTTTTGCAGACCAAATTAATTGCATAAATCTTTTCCGTCTGCTAAATTTTTTGCTAACCAAACTTTTGGCATTTGGCCTGTGGCCCTGAAATCTATAGAAAGATGGCTTTTTCTTCATATCCAAGTGAAATAATATTTGAAATTTTAGTTTTCTAATCTGTCATTCATGGCTTGATCAAGTGAAAAGGCTTATATTTTAAATGAATAGAAATAACTGGAATAGCTAACAGCTACTGATAAAACAAATGGCTAGAGGTACGGATAGCTAGAGATTTATACAAGATCTGCAAATGGATTATCATCCACCGTAAAGTCTGATCTACAATCATCAGTTATACCCGACTTCTCAAAGCCTTTTAAATATACAAAAATTGAGGCGTCATAATGATAATTGTATGTGAAAGGGGTATGATAAGATATGCTGAGTGTAAGTAGACTAAACCATCTGATTGAAAGACTAAATATCACTATTGTATATCTATCATTGTGTACTGTGCCATCATCACTGTATTTTTTAGTAGTTACTGGGCAGATCGTCAATTTCATAATGTGAAACAACTCAGACTACCACCTACATGCTTAAAATTGAAAGCAAAATGACTGGAATAATAAGGAATAATAATGAATATCTAACTGAAATTGTAGTGGAAAATCGTTCATTTTTCGAAGAATTTGTGCCCAAATTTTCGGTCGCCCAAATGAGTTCAAATTTTCTGCCCAAATTTTTCGGGCTCAAATAAATTGTGCTCAATATAATGGCACACAAATTTTTGGGAACTAAGGTACATCGTTTCAAATTGGTCTCAACTGTCGGGTAAATTAGATTGATATGATCACCCTGAATCTGAATGAATTTAGGCAATAAGTATATTATACTTATAGGCAATAAGTATATCAGCTTAACATATATTAGCATATATTTAAAAACTGCTTGTCTGTTTTACAAGAATCTATAGCTTTACAGTGCGTACTTTTATCATTCTATCCCGTGATCTACCCAACGCATGTCGTGTCTGAGTAGTTTAAAGAGCAATTCTCTACTTGTGTCTGCTCCCACGACGCTCTTCCTTTTAACACGAATTCAATTACTGTCCCGGGGATTGCGGAGGGTCTTACTCAAATCAGTTTAAGAAGCTACTTGCTACAGCACAGCGCTGTGTATGGGTCTTGTAATAAATCGTTCGTTGTTCATATGCCACTTGAAACTATATTAGAAGGGGAGGCTCTCCGATCTAGCTTGTCTCTTGGAGGTACAGACCGATATTTTTTAAAATGTTCGCAAAATCGATTAATATGTATGATGTATGCTATTATGTTTTATGTATTGCACTCACCTTAACCAGTTAACCGTGACACAAACTAATGCAAAATATAAGTATGGGGTCGTTCACATATTACGTAATCAGCCGAGGGGGGGGGGGGGGTTTCCAAATGCTTACGGTTGATTACGGGGGGGGGGGGGGGGGGGGGGGTTTGTTCATTGATTACGTAATCAAAATTCTCTTTTTTTACCCTCTAGAATAATAACAACTGGACAATATTTTAAGGGGGGGGGGGGGGTTCGCCCTGATTTTTTTGTGAAACTTGGTTTCGAGATAGCAGTTGACCAACAAACTAGGACCGGTGACCAAATTTTTGAGGGGGTCCCGGACCCCAACCGCCTAACGGTGCCCGCGGGGCAGCCACACCCAAATTTGGTCCAAATTAGGCCCAATTTAGCCAAATACCCCGAACATGCCCAAAACCCAGATTTTAGGTGCTCTACTTGTAGGTAGTGATCCCCTGAACTCGTATATAAAATTTCATCAAGATTGGACAAAAAATGACTGAGTTATGAGCCAAAAACCATATGACCATATTTGGGCATACGCACCTAATTTGATCGAATTTGGCCCATAAATTGGGCAAATATCAATATTTTTGAATAAAACTAACTTTATATAAAAGGTAAGCCTAAACTACACATTCTCTATGATTGTCAGCTCAATATCTACCTAAGTGTGGATTCTGTGTTCAATGTTCAAATAATCGCAAAAAATGAACAAAATCGCCCATATCTCAGTTCGAGATATTTGCGAAACTGACTTCGCTCAAAACAATAGAACTCAATAGGGTTTCAATATTTTTTCATGAAATTTTCAGAATCAACGTAGGATTGTCTCATGACCTTAAGTTTTGGGACAGAATTTTGAGTTAGACTTTTTTTTAATTTGGCGGCCAAATTCTGAAATTTGCCGGGCATTTGGCTCATAACTCAGTCATTTTTTGTCCAATCTTGACGAAATTTTATATAGGAGTTCAAGGGATCACTAGCTACAAGTAGAGCACCTAAAATCTGGGTTTTGGGCATGTTCAGGGTACTTGGCTAAATTGGGCCTAATTTGGACCAAATATGGGTGTGGCTGCCCCGCGGGCACCGCTTAGTTAGGCGGTTGGGGTCCGGGATCCCCTCAAAGTTCGGTCACCAGTCCTAGTTTGTTGGTCAACTTGCAACTGGTATCTCGAAACCAAGTTTCACAAAAAATCAGGGTGAACAAAAAAAAGTCAAAGGGGGGGGGGGGGGGGGGGGGGGGTCAGGTCATGATTACGATCCATTCCTAAATTGTATCACTATTATATCAGAGTGAAATTTGAATTAAAATATTGTCAAATTGTTATTATTCTAGAGGGTAAAAAAGAAAATGTTGATTACGTAATCAATAGCCAAACCACCCCCTCCCCCCGTAATCATTTGGAACCCCCTCCCCCCTCTATGGCTATATAACGTAATCAAGGTTTGACACCCCCCCCCCCCCCCCCCCCCCCCCCCCCCGTAATCAAGACCCAACCCCCCTCCTATATTACGTAATCAAGATTAGACACACCCCCCCCCCCCATCACAACGGATTAATGAATGAAATAATTGCAAAGCACTTACTAAACGAATATTGGTTTAAAAAACGAAAATGTTGATTACATAATTAACGAAAATTGTCCAATTGGTATTTCGAGAATCGTTAAAAAATTAGAATTTTGATTACGTAATCAACGACCAAAACCCCCCCCCCCCCCCCCGTAATTAACCGTAAGCATTTTAAAACCCCCCCCCCTCGGCTGATTACGTAATATGTGAAAGACCCCTTGTCATGTACGTTTGTACCCTACCGACTCGCGCGCCGTCATAGCAACCACATCACGTGCACGTGCTAACACGCTATAATCCCTCCAGATGCTGCGTTGCCTCTTTACGTGATGGTCAACGACTTTCAGAACGGCAGATGTTGGATTCCTCACATTGAGAAAGACACGTACTGTCGTAGTCTCCGCAGAAGACTGCGGCGCGAAGTTGCATCTCTAGACAAAGTCCGGACTGTAAAGTACTACCAGTTCCCTCAACGCCCAATCACGAGAGGTGCTCTGAATGTCACCCCGGTCGAGGATGAGGATCAGACGGACGTGTTCATGTTCCGGACCAACACCAGACTATCCTTCAAACCCTTCGTGAACAGTGGCAGTCAGCGGCACAGCAGACACGGCGATCACCATCCGACAGGTGAGTGTCGAGAAATTAATTGCTCGATGAGCTGATTGTAATTATAACGAGCCTTTAATTTGATTCAATGTATGCATCATAACTGCTCAAAAGCTGCCGCAGTCTTAGCACCCTCATTTGCTCGGCCGATAAAAGCAGGTATGCTACTCATGGCAGGTGTTAGCCTACTGTGAACCATTTCTATTTTAGGCAAACCCTACTACAACTACAAGGAGACACAAGAGAAGGTTTGCAAGCAGCAGAGTAAAGTACAAAGGCTAGATTTAATGGGAAGTCCAGTGGTAGACCAGAACTATCAGTCTTTTAGACCCGGGAATTATCTCACAGTTAACAGACGGCTGCGAGGAAAACCCTCCAGGTACTCTATGACGTCGCAAAGCTCTTACAATCACCTCCAACATATTCAACACATGAACTCGTTATATTAAGGAGTTTATACTGAAATACAATGGAAAGTAAACTTCTGAACATCGATTTAATAAATTAGATTTTGCCAGTTGAACCGCATTTATTTACACATTTCTTTCTTTGTATATGATCGGGTCAAAATGGAAAATTGACCACATATTCCATTAACACAATTCACATATTCACCATAATTTCTGTTTGATAAGTTTTACACAATATTTGAATAGTTCAACTTTCCTCCGATATGTGTTCCTCACCATCAAAGTTCCTGATATTGTCTGTGAAATATGCATACTTTGCATTTTGCTTTTCTCTATGACCACACCACAAAGGAAAAGTCGTAGGATTTGGAGCGATTTTACTAAAAATTGCGTCACTTTCAACTTCGGCGAGCTCGGACAGCTTCGAAATGGTGTTCTCTTTCATAACTGCATCCATAGTGAATAACCTGAAATTTAATAATAATAATTGGTGGGGTAAAGAAACCGAAAATAACAGACGGGTAAAGGGTAGACTGTAAATTATCATTACAACTGATTGTTTCACCAGAATAATGATGGCAGACAACCCCTTCGTTAGTGAGCACATCTCTCCCCCTTCTAAAATCTGGGATAAAACAGAACGGAACTTACGTGCCCTTCCATACTTTCTCGGACCCGCTCTCAGTCTTAGCCTCTTGATAATGAGGAAATTGTCTGGTTCCAAGAGTTGATACCCCTCTCACGACACCTCCTTCATTCCATACCACCTCGCAAAACTTCCGGAGAAGATCCTTGTACCCGCTCTGAAACAGTCTTATAAAAGTGGCGGCACAAAGGAAATGAAGCACATGTGCGCGGCGGTGGACGTACTTTTTAAATATTTTGCGCAGTAGTTTGTACGAAAATTAAGCATTTTACGAAGACCCTTCTCCGTATGGGTCACCAAGGTATTCCGTCACGTTCGAGGGCAAACCTTTTTTCTCAACTGTCAACTGATAGTGCCAACTGCCACTGATACAAATCCTAATATCTATAGTAATCAAACTTCAACAAAGGCCCAGACCATAAATCAATTTTCGCCCCGAATCCCCACATCATTATTTTCTTACCTTATTTAAGACTTTAGATGCGATAACTACTTCATATCTAGGCATACTGCTAAGTGGTGTACATATTGTTAGGGATAAACGAAGTAGAATTCACTTGACAAAATACAAAACTTCTTATTTTTGACGGCACGGGAATTCAAAAATATTTAATTTAGAAATTTAAGCAGTGGTCAAAAACTGTAAATAAATAAACAAATTGTTCTGGTTATTTTATTTCTTTTTGTGAGTGGAGTCAAATAAAACAACTTATTTTAAGAGTTAATTTCTCATTATTATTATTAGACAGTGTCGGTAAAAATAGTAAAATAAACAAATAAAATAGTCTATGATAAACGATCTGAATTGAAATCCGAACCACAAGTCCAATATTTTTGAAGATCAGACAGCAAGGAAGGGAGTCTGATCTCAGTGAATAGGTTCAAGTGCCTCTACCATAACTATACTATTTCCTCTTATCACGACCATGCCGATATTCTGATTAGCTTGAAGACTTCCGGGAGTGGTGTCAATTGTCTCGTCCACTACCACGTTCATGAAGGGGTCAAATCCTCGCAATATTCCTGTAACCTGAAGTAATGATGGCGTCAAATTTTTGCAATATATTTTACAGTTACTTCATAATTCGAATACTTGAGTTGCAAATGGTGGTTCACTTACTCTAGTGGGGGGTGGGGGGGGGGGGGGGGGGGTGACATGTCCTATGTTCTGTCCTTTTTGGATTCTATGAGACAACTGACGTTAGCGGACATTGACGGACATTGGCGGACAAACATTATGAGAATTTTTCGCACAAGATTTGGACACAATATTTTCGGCTCATAATGATCATGACAGCATGAAACATGAACGAAAGTAGTTTATCGAGAATGCTGCTGAGGATCTAGATTAGTGCACCCGTGCCTCGGCTTATGAGTTGTTCCTTTTTTAATTATTACACTACCGGTGTCTTAGGTTATAAATAAATTAAAGTAACCGTGGGCCAGTGAGCCACAGCTTTAAATATTTATCAGTTTTACTCAGTACTTAAAGGTCTTATAAACATAGGTTTGTGATAAAGTAGTCCGAGAAACTTTCCATATATTGATTCAAGCTACGCTGATTATAGGTTTGAGGATGAATGAGACTCCGATCCTGGAAACGTACAGAATTTATGATGGCTTGCTAGCGTTCGGGATTTTGTCTGCTTTGTGATCGGACTGCCGGGAAACTGTCTAGCTTTGAGATATTTCGTCCACACAAAAAAACGAAATCTGTCAACTCTTCTTTACATAGTTGCCTGTTGATAAAAGTTTTAATACTTTCAACACTACTATATAACAAATAATTTGAGCCTGAAGATGGCGTTGACGCCGAAAATTTGCCCTTACTCCTAACTTCCTTGTTTCACTTGTCCTTGTCTCTTCCAACCGGATAATATCCAGATATCAGTATTTCAATCATGAGACTAATAAACAGCGAACTACTCCGTTATTTGATAGTTGCCTGTTCTATCGATATAGGGAGGGGGTGTCATGTCCGTCTATGTCCGCCTATGTCCTGTCCTTTTTGGATTCTATGAGACAACGGACGTGTTTTTTGGGACATTGGCGGACACGGACGGACATTGGCGGACTCGGACGGACATTGGCGGACTCGGACGGACATTGGCGGATTCGGACGGACATTGGCGGACTCGGACGGACATTGGCGGACTCGGACGGACATTGGCGGACCCGGACGGACATTGGCGGACTTGGATGGACATTGGTGGACATTAGCGGACATTGGTGGACATTAGCGGACAAACATTTTGAGGACTGAAGAGTACTGAAGAGTACTGAAGAGTACTGAGGAGGATGGCTGAGAAGAATGGCTGAGGAGGATCAGGGACAAAAGGATTTCGCGGCATGTACGAAATCGCGAAATTTCCCATTCTCCGCGACAAATTTTATGTGTAGTTTAATGTATAGCCTGTTAAATTTCGCGGTACCGCGAAATTTGGCCAAAATAATCGCGAAATCCTTTTGTCCCTGAGGAGGATGGCTGAGGAGGATGACTGAGGAGGATGACTGAGGAGGATGACTGAGAGGGAGGAGAAGGATCAGGAAGACCCAGGAGGAGGAGGAGGAGGACCCAGAAGGAGGACCTAGGAGGAGGAGGAAGAGAACTGAGGAGGATGACTCAGGAGGAGGAGGACTCAGGAGGAGGACTGAGAAGGAGTAGGACTGAGGAGAATGGCTGAGGAGGATAGCTGAGGAGGATGACTGAGAGGGAGGAGGAGGAGGAAGAGGAGGAAGAGGACTGAGGAGGAGGAGGAGAAGGACTGAGGAGGAGAAGGAGGACCCAGGAGGAGGAGGACCCAGGAGGAGGAGGACCCAGGAGGAGGACCCAGGAAAAGGCCCCAGGAGGAGGAGGAGGACTGGGGAGGAGGAGAACTGTTGAGGACTGATGAGGAGGACTGAGGACGAGGAGGAAGAGTAGGAGGAGGACTGAGGAGGGGAGAAGGAAGAGGAGATCAGGAAGACCCAGGAGGACCCAGGAGGAGGAGGAGGAGGAGGACCCAGGAGGAGGAGGAGGACTGAGGAGGACTGAGGAGGAGGACTGACGATGACTGAGAAGGAGGAGGACTGAGGAGTACTGAGGAGGATGGCTGAGGAGGATGGCTGGGGAGGATGGCTGAGGAGGATGACTGAGGAGGATGACTGAGAGGGAGGAGGAGGAGGACTCAGGAGGAGGACTCAGAAGGAAGAGGAGGAGGACTCAGGAGGAGGACTCATGAGGAGGATCAGGACTTAGGAGTAATGAGAAGGAGGACTGAGGAGAACTGAGGAGGAGGAGGAGGAGGAGGACTGAATAGGAGGAGGAGAAGGAGGGGGACTGAATAGGAGGAGGAGGAGGGGGACTGGGGGAGGACTGAGGAGGAGGATGGAGGACTGAGGAGAAGGATGAGGAGGAGGACTGAGGAGGAAGAGGAGGAGGATGAAGAGGAGGAGGAGGACCCAGGAGGAGGACCCAGGAGGAGGAGGAGGACTGGGGAGGAGGAGAACTGTTGAGGACTGATGAGGAGGACTGAGGACGAGGAGGAAGAGTAGGAGGAGGACTGAGGAGGGGAGAAGGAAGAGGACTGGGGAGGATCAGGAAGACCCAGGAGGACCCAGGAGGAGGAGGAGGAGGAGGACCCAGGAGGAGGAGGAGGACTGAGGAGGACTGAGGAGGAGGACTGACGATGACTGAGAAGGAGGAGGACTGAGGAGTACTGAGGAGGATGGCTGAGGAGGATGGCTGGGGAGGATGGCTGAGGAGGATGACTGAGGAGGATGACTGAGAGGGAGGAGGAGGAGGACTCAGGAGGAGGACTCAGAAGGAAGAGGAGGAGGACTCAGGAGGAGGACTCATGAGGAGGATCAGGACTTAGGAGTAATGAGAAGGAGGACTGAGGAGAACTGAGGAGGAGGAGGAGGAGGAGGACTGAATAGGAGGAGGAGAAGGAGGGGGACTGGGAGAGGACTGGGGAGGAGGAGGACTGGGGAGAAGGATGAGGAGGAGGACCCAGGAGGAGGAGGACTGAGGACCGAGGAGGAAGAGGAGGAGGATGAAGAGGAGGAGGAGGACCCAGGAGGAGGACTGAGGAGGAGGACTGAGGAGGACTGAGGAGGATGGCTGAGGAGGATGACTGAGAGGGAAGAGGAGGAGGAGGAGGAGGAGGACTGAGGAGGACTGAGAAGGAGGAGGAGGAGGAGGAGGACTGAATAGGAGGAGGAGGAGGGGGACTGGGGGAGGACTGAGGAGGAGGATGGAGGACTGAGGAGAAGGATGAGGAGGAGGACTGAGGAGGAAGAGGAGGAGGATGAAGAGGAGGAGGAGGACCCAGGAGGAGGAGGAGGACTGGGGAGGAGGAGGACTGTTGAGGACTGATGAGGAGGACTGAGGACGAGGAGGAGGAGTAGGAGGACTGAGGAGGGGAGGAGGAAGAGGACTGAGGAAGATCAGGAAGACCCAGGGGGAGGAGGAGGAAGAGTAGGAGGAGGAAGCATCTAAATGTTATTTCCATTTTTGTCCGTTTTTGTCCATTTTTGTCCGTTTTTGTCCGCTCTATTTTTTGTCCGTTTTGAAAATATAGGGTACTGAACGGACAAAAAACATGATCCCCCTATAACAGCAAAAATTGAACATTTTATTTAGCAATTTAGGTGTCCATTAATGTCCGCCTATGTCCGCCTATGTCCGTCTATGTCCGCCTATGTCCGCCTATGTCCGCCTATGTCCGCCTATGTCCTGTCCTTTTTGGATTCTATGAGACAAGCGGACATAGACGGACGTGACACACCCCCCCCCCCCCCCCCCCCCCCCCGATATAGGTTCCTCCGTCATTCACCTTCCATTTGCTTTTAATCTGCTGAACAAACGAAAAACATTATGACAAAAAACCATGAAACGCAACACATCCCAACTTTGTGGAGGGATTCCCTTGAATCTTCCTCCCAAAACCTTGAAACACCGACTTCAACAAAGTTAAGTCATTTCGTACGATCACTCTTTCACCTGTGATGTTAAAGTTGCAGGAGAAAGTGATTTTATGGCATATGCAACATGACCTCAACATAGCTAATGATATCAACAAACGACAATTCGGCTTTTGGAAGAAGCGGCACTTCATAAAGTTACTCACACCATTGAGCGCAGAATAGCTAAGAAAGGATATGTCCTAGGAGTCTTTCTAGATATAGAGGGCGCCTTCGACAATGTCTCTTGAACGATTGTCAAACTGATTTAGGCTTTTATTTGTTTGCCTGACCGCTGCTTCAGCCTTTTTAGTTTTAAACTTCGACCATCCTATAATTCACGAATCTCATTACTTCTGACCTTCTGTATGTCATATCATGGCACTTTGCCAAATAAATATGAACGTCAGCGATATGCATTAATGATTTGATTTACAAATTTTGACAAGTCCCGACTCAAAATATCACAAGTAAATGTAAAGTGTTATTTGACCACCTTACTATACGAGATAACTGAATCCGAATTCCCGAATTTCCAAAGAACTTGTGAATTAGTGCTGAATTAAAGTAATCAGGGTATTGCAAATGAAAAAAAGGGTTTAAACTTTTAAACGGTTACAGCGCTGTAACCCGACCCTTATCTTTCCATATTCTCACACGTTTCATGTTATTTTCAATAGGGCTCACAACTTCACGTTTTGTATAATTCATCTGATTAGCTTTACGTCTTGTCTAGACTCTTTGCCGGCTTTGTAAAACACATTTCTCTATTGTTTAGTACGTAACAGTGGAACATCGCAGTTGAATGGTCGAAATGGAGACATCTATCCAAACTATAATCCGCACATATATTAGCTGTAAATATAAAGTTGTAACGAGCGAGTTAGTAACCAACGTAAGTTGTAAATTTTATATTTGACTTAAGGGCGACACCGAATAATAACCCAAATTTTTAGCTTAACACCTGCTACGTTTCTTTACTCTTAATATATAGTGTTATATTATCATCACTTCATCATGAAACTGTCAATTAGCTGTGTTTATAGGGTTCTAGAACTCTACTGTCATTTCAGGTTATCATTTCTCATCGTTTTAAACCAGGTGCTCCTCGAAAAGTTTCAAGTTTGACACCTCTTTTTGAAGGTTCTCGAAGAATGAATACCAAAGCACCCCTGCAGATTTCGTCGATTTCAGGTGCCGTCGGCACCATAAAAATTAAAAGCAAACATAAATTTTTTCCCCTAAAATCGAACGCTTTCTGCGCATAAAATTGACCTCAACAGAAAAAATTAAACATGGCTTCAAATCCAAATTTGAACCAGAGATTTTTCACTTCCTCTCGATAAACTTAATTTTCAACCCAAAATAAAGTCTCAAAGGGGTAAATTACTCAGGTCAGGATTGTAGGCAATGATTATGCCAAACCATACATTTTTGTAAATTCATTAAACTTTCAATTTAGCCTAAAACACCCTATTTCACAAAATTTTTCCGGGGGGCTGCGCCCCCCCTAGCCCCCGCCAATGTGGTCCGCCCCTTACCTGGACCCCGCTGGGGGCCGCGCCCCCAGACCCCTGCCACAGCTTGCAGCTTCGATTGCCGACAGCCCCCCTGACCCCCCCCCCCCCCCCCCCAAAGAAAAATCCTGGCTACGTGCCTGAGCAAAATATAGGTTAAGGGCTTTTCAGATGATTTGGATCCTCAACAGATACCGACGTACATAACGGTCAATATGTAGTTTAGGTTTACCTGGCCCGTAGGTTACGAATGTGCCCGAGGAGGAAAAAAAAGCAAACTTAAGAAAATTTCTCGGGAACTTAAAAGTTCACCTCAAAACGAAATCTGCACCT